ATCTCTTTTTACACACACAGAGAAAACTGTTTTTTTGCTCAGGCTTGAAGACGTACTGTAATGCGAGCGAGCACTGATGGCTGAGATTCCGACTCCATTACTAGATCGTATTTTGAAGGACTGTGGTTTCTGTTTGTCTCAGTGTGCATTATAGAACAACTGACTTGGGACAGAGTGTGTCACAGTGTGTGTTTCTGGGGTGTCACAGGTATAGATCAGATGGAGGAAAAAGGAGAGAAGACGTGAAAAACAAAATTGGGAATCAGAGGATGTAGCTACAATTTGGATTCTTCTTCTCAAGAGTACATATCATTATTGACATTGATACTGACCTGTATTTGCACATTTTGGGAATGTGTTCTTCCTCATCTTGTTTAGAATGATGTGAGTTAGGAGACATCATGCCACCTAAAAAAGGTGACCCAAAATCAGCTGCCAAGAAAGGCAAGTCAGAGGAGCCAAAGAAGGGAGGAAAGGATGATAAAAAGGGAGGTAAAGATGACAGAAAAGAAGACAAGAAAGATGACAAGAAAGGAGGGAAGAAAGCAGAGGAGCCACCAGCTAAGGGGAAAGGGAAGGATGATGGAAAGAAGGGAAAGGGGAAAAAACCTGTCAGCGAGTCAGAGGAGGAGTCAGAGGAAGAGTCAGAGGAGATGTCTACTGATGAAGATGAGGAAGATGACAGTGAAGAAGAGGTAGTTTCTAAAAAGCCAGCAAAGGTAGATAAAGGGAAAGGAAAAACAGCTCTAAAAGGTGCATCTAAGGCCATGGCTGTAAAGGGGTTTAAGCCTCCTCCTAAACACTCACCTGTTGATGAGGAGGAAGAGAATGGGGGGGCCCAGACAAAGAAAGGGATGGGTGCCATAAACCTGAAAAAGATGAGTGATGTTAACATCAAAGGAGCCTCCAAGGCCATGATAGGCTTTGCTGCAGAGGGACAGAAGAAGAACACAGGTGGAGCAAAAGCAGAAAAGGCAGATCCTAGGTCTCACCTCAAAGGAGCCTCCAAAGCCCTCACAGGCCTCACAGGGAAGTCCTCTCCTTTTAGCTTTCCCTCTAAACAACAGCAGCCAGAGAAAGCAAAACCAAAGAGAAACCTTAAAAGCACCTCCCGTCTCTTCCTACGACTCTCCAAGAAAAACAAGCCCTCTGCTGGTGGTAAACCACTTCTGGGCGCCAGCAAGCTATTTGCTGGGTTTGGGGCTAAATCACCTTCCGCTGATAAAAAGCCAGGTCTGTCTGGCTTCAGCTTGTTTAATAAAAAAGATGGCGCTACAAAAGAAACCCCACCACCTAAAAAGACTATAAATCTATCCAGTTTAGGAGGCAAGGGGAAAATGGCAACAGAGGCAAAGGGACTGGGAGGGAAATTCAAAGGAATGTTTGGAAAAAAGAATGCAGGATCAGGGTTTAAGGATAAAAGCTGGATGGTAGGAAGGATAGCTGCAGCAACTAACTGGTTAACAGGGAGGTTCCTAACTGCTAAGGGCCAAGGTCGGCTGGGGGCACCAGCACGAGGACGGGAACGAAAGCACCTGTCATTTGCTAACAGGAACACTAGAGGAAGACAGACACATCATTACGATGAAGCCTATGAGTATGATGATGATGAGTATGGATATGAGGAAGATTACCATGACAGGTGGAGACCTAGAGGCTTCCTGAGACAACCCATGACCTATGACCCATATGACCCATATGGAGAAGAAATGGATTACTATGATGATGATGAGTGGGAAGATGAATATGGTTACTATGATGAAGAGGACAACTTTTATTATGATGATGAGTTTTACTATGATGATGACGTGGATTACTACAGTTACCCATATGACTATTATGATGATGAGTATGAAGAGTACTATGGTGATGAAGGGACGGAGTATTATTATGGTGAAGATGGAATGCTGTATGCAATGGAGCCAGAGCCATACGGTTACTATGAAAGTGCCATGGATGACCCCTATGACCCTGAGCTGTATGGAGATTACTTTGACCACAATATGGGTATCTATGGGATGTCAGACCCATATGGCATGATGGGTGGTGGTTATGATGTTGTGCCAGGCCTATATAATGACCCAATGCTGGGATATATAGACCCTGCTGCTATTTCTAACTCCTATCAGCAACCTTTCTATATGGATGCTGGGCTGCATCCAGCTGAGACGGGACAGCTATATAGACAGGAGCAGCTGTCTTACCCTCTCGCTGAGCCAATTTCAGCAGAGCAGTTCAGGGTCCCCAGGCCCCAGGTTAGGCTATTTGGAAAAGACAGACTAGACGTGGAAACCCTACCACCTCCTCCTCATTCTCATGCCTCCTCTCCAATGTTTCCCCCTCCCTCCCCAGGTCATGCCCTCAACAATCTGGCAATTATGTCAGATATGCAATATGAGCAGTCCCTCCCCACATACCTTCCTGCACAGCCCTACTACCCCACTGTCATGAACCAACAACAAACCCCCATTCTTACTAGACAAACCCCTTCGCCAACACCTAAGATCATTCAACAGGAGCACTTCTCTCTGCCTCAGCCTACTCACCCTCCTTTCTCTGTTTTTCCAAGTCACTTGTCCCAATCTCCCTTACCACCACAATTGGCTCCACAAATGCACCAACCCCAAGACCCACAAATGTTCCAGATGGGGCAAATGTTACCAATGGTCCCACGAAGACAGCCACAGATGCCTCCACTGATGCATTCACCAATGCATTCACCAGTGGCTTCATCTAGGCCAGTGCGACGAATGAGTCCCATTCCATCCCCGTCACTGAGGCCAGGATCAGCTAGGGCAATGGCACCTCCTTCTCCCCGCCTCTCACCACATCACATGGACTTCCAAACAGGCATCCAGACAGACCCCCACCTCTCCCCTCGCTTCCATCGGAGAGGGCTCACTAACCGGGCTTCAATGGCAGGCCAAAGGCCAACTTCCGTACTTGACAGGCAGAGACCACCCAGCCCACCTGCTTCTCCACCACACCACAGGAGAGGGATGTTAGCTAGAGCTCAGCCATCCCTGACAAGAGGACGGGGGAGAATTGGGCTGAGCAGGGCTCCATCAACTATCCGACCCCAGTCCCCACTTTCTAGCCCCCTAGCTTCACCCCAGGGATCACTGAGGAAGAGATCAAGCCCACCACCTTCCCCAAGACTCTCTTTCAGACAGAAACCCCCTCCGGAGGCAGTGCCTCTGCCATCTACCAGACCGCATTTGTTCAAAGCTAGAAAACAAACGTCCACGATGAGACGTTCTCCCTCTCCTCCCCTACCATCCCCACAAAGACAGAGTCCCCCTCTACGTGAGAGATCTCAGTCCCCTCCCCAAACCTTCCGCCCAACCTCCCCCCATCGTCCTCCCTCTCCTTCCCCATCAGGCATCAGTAGTCGCCCCCTCCCCACCCGTTCATCTACTCGCAGGCTGAGAGGTGGTGCTGGAGGTCGAAGTCACGTGCCCATGGGGGCTGTGAAACCCTCCCCAGCTAACCCCTATTTACAGAGACGCAGTAGACATGGACCCCCTGTCACTCAGCACGTAGCCCCATTCAGGTCCTCTGTACACAGTGGCCCAGCTCCTCCCTCAGGACAGATGGGGGGTGTAGGTGGTTCAACTATGTTAGCCAGGACAGGCTCCCGTCCTACAGGGTTAAGGGAGTCAACGCGACATGGCACTCCTCAAGGAGGCTTCCACAGACCTGTCGGTAGAGGCCAGCCGCTAGTCCGAATGTCCAGAAACCAGCCCTCTCTTCAATCTAGGCAGTCATTCAGAGCTCCTCCCCCAGTGCCTCCTGTCTCTCCACAGCCTTCTTTGAAACACAGTGGCCCTATTTCCCCCCAGCCATCAGTGCGTAGGCTGCAGAGTAGACCTCCTTCTCCACAACCACTGCACCGTCAATCTCCCCTGCCTTCCCGTTCAGCCTCTCCCATGCACCATATATCTCACCCGCCGTCCCCCTTTCCACACAGGGCTATGAGTCCCCAGAATGCAGGGCCAACATCTTTTCAACCTACAGGACCTCACCCCAGCCTTTCTCCTGGTACTCTCCCACCATCTCACAGTATCACCCAGTATGACTACACAATGATGGAGCCAGGCCCATCCCCAATGCTTACAAATGCTTTACCAAACCCCCAGTTTGTAGGTGCTCCCTTTCCTCCCTCTCCTATCAATTCCTTCATCCCTCATTCAAACACTGCTTACTCTTCTCCTTTGCAGAGATCCTCTTCCCCCCAAACACAGTATGAAGTCTACTCTCAAAACCTCCCTCAAACTGCACCCTTATCACCTTATCTGGGACACAGGCCCCAGAACCCTTATCTGCAGAATGCCAGCATCACCACACCTTTACAAAGAAGCCCTTCCCCCATACCCGGGGGTCAGGGCGAGATATCAGCTGATGTACAGGTGAGCCAGGGGTTGAGCCCATATTCCACTATTGGTCTATCCAATGCTTTGACACAGAACTCCCACCTGCGCAGCACCTCCTACTCATCTCCTCTATTACGCAATGCCAACCTCTATACAGCTGTCCTCTCTCCCCCACAGGTAGCAGCCCCTCCTGCCCCCTCTGTACCCTCCTCCCCACACTTGTCTTCTGCTATGCTTACCTCTCAGCTGCGCAATGCTTCCTATACCTCACCCCTTCAGCGACACCTCTCTCCCACGTCTCTTGCCTCTCCTGTCCCTGCACCCACCACAACTCAACAAGGTATAATCAGAGGTTCCTCCTCACTTTTCTCTGGTGGACTGAGGACCTCCCAAATTCAGGGATCCATGTTCAGGCTTCCAAGTGGCACTTTGACAATGTCTCAGGGACCTCTTGAGCTTCCAACTACCACTGATGTTGGAGGTGGTGTCAGTGGTGGTGGGAGGGTGTCACCCTCTATCCTCTCCAATGCCCTGCAGAACTCAAGCCTACGTCAGACAACCTATAGACTACCTGATGGCTCATTTGTCACCAGAACTGAACCTGTTGAACCTTCTTTAGGTCCATCACCCCTCTCGTCCTCTATGCTGTCCTCTGCCTTGCTCAATCCAAGTTTGCGACAGGCCACATATCGATTGCCTGATGGCACTCTTGTCACCAGGACAGAGCCCACACCTGCACCCTCCCCTTCCTCATCTATGCTTTCTTCTGCACTTTTGAACCCCAATTTACGTAAAGCCACATACAGGCTGCCAGATGGAACTTTGGTTACAAGAAACGAGCCAGCACCGGAACCTGTCATCCCTTCCTCCTCTATGCTCTCCTCTGCTCTTCTCAATCCTAATGTTCGCAAGGCATCTTATAGATTACCAGATGGTTCCATTCTAAAACGTCCAGATGAGGAGACACAGAATGCTGAGACTACAGTCTCATCACCGGGGTTATCAAGCGCCCTAATGAATGCTAACCTGCGTAAGGCAAAGTTTCAGCTCCCAGATGGATCAGCATTGTTTTCACGAAACCAAACCCAAGCTCCCACCTCTGGCTCCTCTGGTCCTCTCCTTTCTGGTGCCATGCTTAACACAAACCTCCGTGGTGCCTCCTACAGACTCCCAAGCACATCACTATTAAGGCAGCCTGGTTCTGTTGATACCTCTGAGTCACGCTCCCTCGACCTTTCAAAGGCTCTCCGCAACCAGAACCTCCGATCTGCCACCTACCGTTTGCCAGATGGAACTCTGATGACCCCCTCTCAACCAAGTACTGCACCCCGCACACTTGACTTGTCTAATGCTTTGTCAAGGAACCCAAACCTTCGTGGGGCAAAGTACCGTCTCCCCGATGGTAATATCATGACACGGCTTGGTGCCCCTAGCACCCCAGAACCTCGCACACTTAACCTCTCTGGTGCCCTGCAGAACCCTCATCTCAGGGGTGCCACTTTCCGCCTACCTTCCTCATATGCTGTAGTGTCACCCCAGGTCCAGGGATCCAACCCTGAACAGCACTGGGCACAGGGCTCCGGGGTTGAAGGCTTGGGACTGCAGCAAGATATGGATATGTGGGGTGCAGAGAGGGTTCTACCTCACGGGACAGTGCAGAACCTCAATAAGTGGTCCATGTATAGAGACGGGGAGCTCCTTGATCCCTACAGCCTGATGGGCCAAGGACATGTGGGGCATGAACCAGGGGAGTGGAATCTCAGCAGGGAGGGGGAACCACAGGGGCACTGGTTTGACAAGGTAAAAGGTTTGAATACATGACACACACTACAAGTAGACACAATAGCTAATGGTGACCACTATATTATATGTCTTTATGTTAATGCAATCTTGTAGTTGCACATGAAATATTTGGGAGAAAACCTGGCACAATAGTGGAGATGAAGGGTAGAGTACTATGAGGGATGGTAGCTTAATTATATGTTGATGGTTTTTGAAAGAGCATGATAGTGATGATAGGTAGTGGGCACAATGAGCTAAATAGGTAAAATGTGTAAAGCACATATATTTGGTGAGAGAAGGGCAAATGGGGGTACTGGAGTCAATCAAGATTAGAATCATCCATGTAAGTGTGTGCATGTATTGATACATGAGCCGATTGTGCTAAGGGCTTCATGTCCTCATTTTAGAGTGTATATGTGCATGTTTTAGATGTACTCAATCAGAAGCCTGCCCACCATGACTCACCGGGAGCAACGTGAGGAAGATGGAGTGGAAGATATGACACAGCTAGAGTAAGTAAAAATATCACACACACCTGAGTTAACTTTGTCAGAGAGAGACCTATAATGTCAAGTGCAACAGTAAAATGTATAAAACAAAAGATACTTTTTTTTACTTTACCATTTCGTTTATCATGATTTGAAATAATAATCTGCAGTATAGAGAATGAATGCTACTGCACATCTTTTACTCAGTGGGCAGTCTTACACACCAATAATAATTTTTGTAGCTTCAAATACACAATGGGTTTCAAGATTCTGGACAGGTTCTTAAAATTGAGTAATGTATCTGTGCAGGAATGGGACATGCCTATGGATTGATCAAAGAGATTGGCAAATTCCTTAGTGAATAAAGGCCATATTTAAATTCAGCACAGTCCAAAGATGCAAAAATGGTCTGGATGGAGTGAAAGGAAAAGTTCTCTGTTATTCTTAAATACCTTCGTCTTATTGCTTCTGTCTAGGGAGATGCATGAAGGGGCTGTTCTGCTTAACCTGAGGAAAAGATTTGAGAGGGAGCTTATTTATGCAAGTATCTTAGCAACACGAGCATCCAACATGCAACCACCTACATATAACCCTTATACTAATGAAAATGTCTTCAATCTATACATTTAAAGACAAATCATTTTATTTTGAGTTTGTGATGATTTTTCAAGCCTATATATTTATCTCTCTGTATCTTTTTTCTCCTTATTCTTTGTTTACTTTCAGACGTACATAGGTAGTATCCTGGTGTCTGTGAACCCCTATAAGATGTACAACATCTATGGGACGGACATGGTACTGCTGTACAAGGGTCATGCTCTTGGAGAGAACCCTCCGTAAGTCCTGGTCCCTCTGAAACTGTGAGGACAATAAACTAAAAAACAAACAAACTGAGCACTAGTTGTAGTTGTCAATACCTTCACACTTTAAAAACACAAAAATTTAGCTTAATCTGTACTATAAATTATTACTAATTATCATGTTCTATCTTTAAGCTTTTGTTGGCTCAATTCATTGCTTTTATCTCTTTAGATATCTGATAGATTGTTGATGCAGCTATTCTTTCTCCTTCAGGCATTTGTTTGCCATAGCAAACTCTGCTTATTCCAAAATGATGGATGCCAAACACAACCAGGTCATAATAATCAGGTAGGGGGCTGGCTCTCTATAGTCCTTCAAAAATCATCCGTCATCTGCGAATTTTAATTACTTTCCATGTACCTGTAAATCAGACTTCAATGTTTACCAGCCATGTATGATTTATAAATAGGAGTTTCATTCACCACTCCTGAATTCACTCCCTGCTGGTTTGTGTTTCACTTTTTAAATTCTATTCATCATATGTGCCTGAAAAATTTCTATACCATTGATCACACAGTACACAAGATTGACATTTAAACAGATAGAAAGATAGTTTTTACATAAAAATCCTGCATTCAGCAGCAACATATTTTTAGTTGCATGTCATTCGTAACCTTGGTGCACACAGTGTCCATGAAGCTTCTTGGACAGTTAGGTTTCCATCTCCATTTGGATTAGTGTTTGTAAATTCATGAGTGTCTGTCTGTGGTTTTCTGGCCAGCAAACTTAAGACAGAGCCATCCTTCAGTCCTCTCAAGCTCCGTCTATCTGTCACAGGCGCCTCACTCCATGTCATGACTTATCTCCTGGAGGAGCAAACAAACACCCACAAACACACATACAGTTAGTTAGCAAGTTTACACCTAACTCAGATGTAAAAGCATAGACGCATATATAGTATATCCACACACTTGCACACAGGTGTGTGCTTTTAGATATTACCATAAACAATCATAGGAAATACAAAAAATTCCTACACATGTACCCATTCGCACACACCTGGAACACTCTAGCCGTTTTCGGAAGGAGACACCTGTAAAGAAAGCCCAGCCAGGTCTGTGCCAGGAGCAGATGATGTTTCCAAGGTGTGTGTGTCCATGTGCACGTGTGCAAACCCTGTGTTTGTGTGTGAGCCACTGAGTGCGTGATAAGGGGTAACTGAGGTCTGGTGTACAGTGACCAGTAATGGCCCGTTTTTTAGCTAACCAGCCCGTGAGTTGAAACCTTATGCTGGAATGTGGTCAAGGTGCCGGTGTCCCTAAATACCACACACACACACACACACACACACACACACACACACATACACACACATACACATACACCTCTGCCCCCCTTTGGCCAAGCTTACATAATAGTGGTATTTAGCACTAAGCTGTTGGCAGTGGTGAAGCACAGTGTGTGTGTGTGTGTGTGTGTGTGTGTGTGTGCGTGCGTGCGTGTGTGTGTGTGCACGTGTAAGATCGTTTCAGGTGGTTTAACGTAAAAGTGGCCTTACCTAATGCAAGATTAGCCTGGTCTCACGTCACTTTGTCAATTAAGTCAAACTCACCAGTAGGGGGTGAGAAGGATCAAATAATGGATGCTCTAAGTGATTATTAAAAGCTGTGTGCAGTGGTGCTTAAAGTGCAGATAATGTTCACTCTTTGGCCATTGTGAGTTTCCACTTTTAGCAAATGGGATATCACAGCCCACTATGCCAATTGAGAAATTTCATCCTGTGTACCATTAAAAAATATTAAATACTAGCACTAGTTTTGTCACGAGGGCATCCAAAAAATGTAGTATGTGCAGATACAGTTTCTGCCATTGTCATTTAAAACATTTTCTGTTGTTTTATGGTTTGAATGATATAACAACACAAACCGTGAGTCAAATTCTGATTTTCTGTGCAGCTGTCATGGCTGCTCTGACATCCAGTTTGTGATGTAATCAACCATCATTTCAAGGGTTTCTATTGATTCTATTTTGTAGGCGTGTGGAAATAATATCACCGCAATATTAACCGCAATATTAACAATAGCATCCATATGATCGAAATCATTTTGACCTGCTGCTGACACTACAAAACTACAAAACTAGAAACAAAAATCCTAAAACACATGTGGCTGATTACCATAAAGCAAAATCTTGTGAGCTCAACTCTTATTAATGTATAAGTTTTCACAGGGCAGAAATATTTATTGAAACTCGGCCGAGGAGGAAATGGCATCAAGCAGCACTAAAAAGTGAGAACATAGTGTAATGCCAAACCATATCTGAAGGATACTTCTTGACATGGGATATTTCTCCTTCCTTGACCTTGTGTTGGAACATCACAGGCTGTAACCTTTTGCTTACTTTAGCTCAGCAAATGATCCTAACGTGACCTGGGGAAACCTCTGCGATAGTACACTAAAGAAGGACTAATCCTTTACATTTACTACAATACAATACAATACATTTACTTTAAATATGCTACTTAGTTTTCTGCGCCTTTAATTTTCTACAGCCAGTTATGTTCAGAAGCTCCTCTAAACATTTAGCTGAGGTGAAGACACACAGCCAGGATACTGAGGTAGAAAACCATATAAGTATATGTGTATCCTTCAAATGTATCATATTTTTCCTATGGCATACTTTATACATTGAGTGTGTGTTACTGTGTTTCAGTGGAGAGAGCGGATCTGGGAAAACAGAGGCCACCAAACTAGTCCTCCGCTACCTAACAGCAATACACCACAAAAGCAATCTTGCACAACAGGTACGAACACACATTGTGCTAGTGCTGCCAGCTGATTTGGACACACACACACACACACACACGCACACACACGTTCCTGTCTTGAAGGATGACTAACGCCTGTCTATGTCTCTTTTTCCATGTCTCTTTATCTCTGCTGGCTCTTCTTCGTTGCAGATTGAGGTAGTGGGGTTGCCTGCATGACTTGTGCTTTACATTTTGCAACTCATCTACACACATGGCCATAAGAATAGCAGGTTGCTGTGTTTTGCTGTGGTGTGTGACAATTTTCAGTAGAGATGTTGTGTTTTCTTGTGCATTTTTCTTTCACTTGCTATATAAAATCTGTCTAGCATCCCCTCAACTGTCTGATCAGGGTCTGAATTAACTCATCTCAAATGGGCATTAAATAGCCTTTTATTTGACTACAGTTCACACAGAATCAACCGGTGCTTTGCATTTTAATTGTTTCTTGCTCTGTTGTTTTTAGCATATATGCTGGATGTATGCTATAGACCATCTATTACTGTCAGAGCAAGATATTTTTGCTGATGTAGGTTGTTGATACAGTGTGTGTCTGAATGCCCGGTAGATACTTGAGGCAGCTCCTCTGCTGGAATCATTTGGAAATGCCAAAACTGTACGGAACGATAATTCCAGTCGCTTTGGGAAATACATAGAGGTCTTTCTGGAGGAGTGAGTATGAAATAAATACACAACAGTTCCATTCTCAAAAAAGCTTTCTCAGTGAATTATGTGTCATTTTATGTTGTTGTAATTAAAGTTTGTGCTATATAACTAAAGATAACTTATTATTATACAATATAATACCCTTCTGCCTCTCTCTCTGCCCAGTGGTGTGATCTGTGGTGCCATAACCTCTCAGTATCTACTGGAAAAGTCCCGTATCGTCTTCCAGGTGACACACACACACACACACACACACACACACACTTGATATCTCATATTTTCTGTGTAACAAAGTGTGTTAAACTTGAGTTTTCCCCTTCAGGCCAAAGATGAGAGGAACTATCACATCTTCTACGAGATGCTGGCAGGTCTCCCCTCGCAGCAGAAGCAGGCTTTCTATCTTCAAGAGGCTGAGACCTACTATTATCTCAACCAGGTAAAAAAGACAGTGCGGCACAATCATCTGTCTTTTAAGGACTTTGCGGGAATGTCATGTGGAGATACAGATAGAAGTGAAGTCCAAACCGGTGTGCCCTTTCTCTTGTCCTCACACAGGGAGGAAATTATCAGATAAAAGGAAAGAATGATGCAGAGGACTTCCTGCGTCTGCTTGCTTCCATGGAGATACTTCACTTCACCCCTGAAGACCAGTCGGCCATCTTTCGAGTTCTTTCTTCCATACTGCACATGGGCAACATCTACTTTCAGAGATATGAGGTAGTGTTTTTCTTTCTCTCTTTGTTTTTATTTTTGTTATTAATAATATTTAATTGAAGATCATTCAGGCAAATAAAATACCATGGTACATATGTCACATACCGCGTATATATTTTTGGTACATGTTTGGAACGTTTTGTCCATCCAAATGAGGCAACTATGTTAAGGAAATTTAAAGCGCTAAAAACAAGAAATAATGTAAACCAGAAACTAAAATGACAATAAACAGAAATGTTTTTTGTTTTTTATTATTATAAACACAAAAGATCAAGTATTTTTTCTTTCTCTTCTCTATGTTGCATCACAGGCTGATGGCCAGGAGGTGGCGTCAGTAGTGAGCGCTCAGGAGATCAGAGTAGTGGCAGAGCTGCTGCAGATCTCTCCAGAGGGACTACAGAAAGCCATCACCTACAAAGTCACAGTCAGTATCAAACTGTGTTTTTATGCTAGGGATCCTTCAACCTCTACCCACTAACTCATGAAGGATTGGCCATTTCAGAAGAAAGTCATTGATAAGCTGTTGCTTATCTGAAATACTGTATTTCAGATTAGCAACAGCATCACCTTGTGTATCACCTTGAATGAGGCTCAAAATTATTTAGTGAGAGTAGTTTTGGCGTAGACATAGACTGGTGCAGATCTAGGCAGTATGCCCTGCAGGAAGGCATCTCAGCCTGCTCAAGTATAAAAACAAAAGTGTGTTAAGCCACCTGTTTAACCACTCAGTGGCTCAGTGCACCAGTTCTTGACTGAATTTTTACTGAATTTCAAGGAAATGTTTGCTTATTTATGTAAATTAAAAATTACTTCAGATTTTTACGAACAAATAATAATGAGCCTTAGATGTAGTAAAGTCTTCCATTCCACTTGACACGTCACTTTGTCTTTGTATATTGGATTTTTGTTACCTGTGAAGTGTCTTACCTCGAACTTCTGACCTCCTGCTCATTCATTCATTATGTTTTGAAAGATGCATCTCAAGTCAGACCTGACCTCATGTGGAGCAGCCCAATTTTGTTTTATATGTGGTAAAGAATCACTTCATAAAACAATAGAGACACTTTTCTGTTAACTGCTTGACTTTGATATGTCAGCGTTGATTGTTTAGACGTATCGCTTACACTCTGCACACACGACTACAACACACTGACCAGCATGAATGTAAATGTTGCCACGCAAACACTCATCCTGTACAATTACAGTACACAGACATAATAGACAATACAATATTCACACACTTACTATTGAGATACCTCATTCTGTAGAGTAATGCTTCTGGCAGTGAAAGCATCTCTTGACTCCTTTTTTTGCAGTCTGTCATTTTGGATAGTATATATTTTTTTAAATTCTCATTTAGCACTAGAGAGTGCAGTATAGCTTGAGGGATGGGATGTTTAAGTTAAGTTTTTTGGTGGGATTTTAGATTTTAAAGATTCCAGTTTCTACAAAACATCACAGCATGCTTTCTTTGTCCAAAATGACAACTTTTTATTTGCTTGAGTCATGAGCTCTTATTTACTAGACACATCATCATGCTCATACTTGTCTCGATCCTTGTATACCAGCACGTTCCCTCCATCACATATGCAAAACAAAGAAAGGAATTGGTTCATCTCCTGATGTCCTTCAGCATGTTACCATTCAGGGGAAGAATTCCATTGAGTTCACATATAATTACAATTTACGTACTCATAAATTGGTTTTAGGTGTTAGAAATTTAAAACACCACTAATAAAAAAAAAAAAAAACATTTTTATATATCTGGCTTTCAATTCATTCTGTCTTGTCTATTAATGTGAACCAGCAGAAGAGCCTGTGCACAGTCTCTACACCCCACATCCAAAAACCTTTAGAGGACAAATAAAGACAATGAATTGCCGCATTGTGCTCCTTTGCTTCAGCCAGAGTTTGCTGGTTGTATCCAAGGAGATCTTAACAATGTGATTGTCTAAAGAAGCACGTCCATGGGAAAAAAAGGGACAGTATTTGAAAGCCATCAACCTCAAATCCGGATACAACCTCTCTTGCATCTTGTCTTCAGGCATCTATGACATTTTGCTTCTTTGTCACCAGTACAGTAGCTATGGCACACATTCAGTCCAGTCGATCTTTGCCACAGTGTCCTTAAGCAAAAAGACAATGAATCCATACCAGCTCAATGGATGCAAGCTCAACCGCTCAACCCTGATAACATTAACGGATCGTAGGTGCAGACAACAAAAAGCCCAAAAACTGTCAGAAAACAAGAAAGTAATAAACACAGACCTATTCACAATGTTTACTACCAAATGAGTTTTCTAGTTCCCTGTCCGCTGTATTTCCCCCGTTGCCCCATTTACATCATATTAGCTGACAAAGTGGAAAATTGGGGGGAAAAAATTCTGTCACCAAACGATTGTCCTCTTTGATCCACATACTCTCATATTCCAGTATCTGATTAATCAGAAAACATCCTGTTTTACTGTCCGGTTTAAAAGAAGGAGCAGGTTCCAGTTGTCCTGTCGGTCTTATGCTTCTGACAAAGAGGAATACATTAAAAGTACGCCTTATGTCCTCCACACGTACACACTCTTTTACACTAAGAGCCTTTTGTATAATTGAATTTCTAATTACAAAGGTGGTTCCTATGTAACAGGAGAGGAGTCATTCGTATCCACTCATTTCCTGTGGCTGAATGAGGCACGTCTGTATGTGTGTGTGTGTGTGTGTGTGTGTGTGTGTGTCCGCATGTAAGTGTGATGATCTGGTGCATTTAAGCAAGAGAAGGTCTCAAGTCTCAAAGCATTCTTTATCTGATCAGATCCCCAAGTCCCAGACACTCACGTCAATGAATAAGAGAGTAGAGGAAATACAAGTGGGAGAGTAGAAAGAAAAGAGGGAAGCAAAGATGACATCAGTGAGGTAGAGTGAAGATAAAAGAACGAGGAAAGAAAGAAGTGAAACAGACGGGAGTAGAAGGGAGACAGGATGGGGGAATTAGTTAGTAAAAGTTAACATGAAGGCATTAAGCAGCATGATGACGAGGTTTCCCACTTTAGGACTGTACAGACATTATTGGGCTGGGGATGGGGGGGCTGAACCTTATGGTCCAAATGTAGTAGATCCATTCGTTGTCTTTGAAAAGACTGAAATACCCTCTCCTTTATTATCTTAAAATTAAATCTAAAAGATTTTTCATATTATCCACCAAATTGCACATTAGAAATTATGGTGGACGTCACAAGATTAGTCAGCCCTATTTACCAGCATTCCTGCTACACGAGCCAATAACTGACATTATTACTGTCAGTAGTGGGTTTCCATCCACCTGTCACCATCCACAAAAAAAAGCATTTCCGCTTGAGGGAGGTGGAAAAGTTGGTGTATCTATAAAAAGAATATATGTGATAAAGTGATAATGTGCAATGAAAACACATTCAGTGAATAAATCATGAGACACATGAAGCATATGACTGCTTATCTCAATGAACCAACTCCTAATATTTGCAAAACAGTAGTGGAAATGCCCATAAATATGCATTTTCTTCTGCCTATTTTCTGAAGATTCTGTTAAAATTTGCGCTACAGATTGATTGAACCGGGCACAGGGGACAGCAATTAAAATATTAATCTGGGGTAAGATCATTTTAAATCTGTTGTACACTGCCCTTCCTTCAGCAAAAAGAGAAAACACAAAATCATCCATAATAATGTTCATATAGCCCCTAGCACAGTCTATAGTTTTTATAATGAAGCCCACAACACTACAGTACATAGTGTTCTGCTCTTCCAGTTCAGCTACACAGGAATGCTTCAGTTCATTTAGAGAGGTATTTTTTTAACAGAATACTGTATCTGGCAATGAGCTCTGCCTGCAGCCTGCAGCACTTAACATACTGTACCTGAGTTGGAGTGTCAGTTTGTGGGGATAAGTTGAAGGTTAGAATTTCTCAAGAATGGGCAGGCATTTTATAGGATTTATTTAACTTTTCATAATATGAGAATATGAATCAGGGTGCAGAACTCACCGAAATGCTACTATAGCATACCGTGAATACATACCAACCAGGAGGAGGACACACTGCCTTTGAGCTGACATTGCACAACGATGACAATGATGATGATTATTTTCTCTATTATTTCCACTAATAGTACCAGTAACGTTTTTATATAGCATTTTACATAATAATATGATTAGATGAAGTATTAATGAGACCTTTTACACAATCACTAAATACAATTCTGCTGGGAACTGCATAATATCACAAAACTCAGATTTTTTTTACAGAAGACATTTTGACATGCCACAGTAGGGAAAAAAACACAGGTGTAAATAATAATTCATTAACAATGGCTTTATTCCATTTAGCTGCTTCAGTGTCAGGGTCCTGGTTGACTCAATGTCAGCACTTACTGAGACGCTTAAATAGAACAGAGCCATTGTCAGTGTTGTTAATAACACATTTTGCTGGCAAGTTGTTGCAATTATTTGCTGTGAAAAACAGGCCCAAAACTAACAGGAGAGTGAGGGTGCTGTCAATCAAGTTCAGTCTGCACACATTTACACTCAGTGACACTCTTACACTCTTACACTCTTATCTGGCAACATAAGTCAAAAAACCTGTGCGGTGGATTATGGGTGTGCAGTATTTAATTAGGGTCAAAAGTAGATTAGATGGCCCAGTAGTTTATAAACGTTCTTGACAAACAGGGTGAAAGCAGATTTGAGTTGAAATTGTTAATCATTTGCTCCTCAAACAAAATTATTTTTAAACCCGTCTATATTCTCTACAGGAGACAATGAGGGACAAGATTCACACCCCACTGACTGTGGAAAGTGCTGTCGATGCCAGGTAACAGACCGCTACATACCCAACATGCACTGCATGAAAATGTATTTCACATGGCATCCCATTCGGAAAGGAAAATGCCACTAAATTTGCCATTTGGTTCCCATTAAAATAATCTTTGTGCAAGCTGACATGAAACTAAGTCCCAAATACAACTTTTCCTACTTCCTAATCTGGGATGGCAATTTGTCTGAAAATAAGAGTGCATTATGTATGGCCCAGTTTTTTAAATTCATTGCCTCTCTGTCTCACTTTCTCTTTCTCCTCATCTTTCTCCAATATTCCTATCCCAAACTCTGTCTTTCACAAATCTTTGGTCTCCAGAGATGCTGTTGCCAAGATCCTGTACTTGCTGCTCTTCCGTTGGTTAACAGAGAGGATCAACGCTCAGGTGTATCCCCACCAACACACCCTCTCCATCTCTATCCTGGACATTTACGGATTTGAGGTAAGCAAGTTTTCTCCTTATCACCTCTTTTTATGACCTGTCTGGCACTTTCTTGTTTTACACTGTAGATAATGAGACTCCAGATAACTCTTACAATCACTCTTTAGATATGTAGATGACATTTAACAAATTACCAGCTGTGTGTGTGTGTGTGTGTGTGTGTGTGTGTGTGTGTGTGTGTGTGCTTGTGTGGGAACAACAGGATCTAGCCTTCAACAGCTTTGAGCAGCTTTGCATTAATTATGCAAATGAGTACCTGCAGTTCTTCTTCAACAGAATCATATTCAGGGAAGAACAGGTGAGTCCACGTCACACCTGTGGACACACACACACACACACACACTCTTTATATCACAAATCATATACAATATACACATAACTGTTTGCACACAAATAGATGTCAATTAGGTAGTGCTGGAACAAGTAAATTCATTGATAAGTTGATTGATAGAAACAATAATAAGACATGTGAAGTTGCATGGGATCCCCATGTAGGAGGAATACAGCCGGGAACAGATCCCATGGCAGGACATCCCATTCAGTGACAACCAGCCTTGCATTGACCTCATTGCTGCTAAGCCTCATGGGATACTGAGAATTCTGGATGACCAGAGCTGTTTCCCACAGGTAGGGCATGAGAAACCTGAACACACTTACACATCTATTATACCCACAGGCTGAATCATTGTACATGCACTGAGACATTTCAAAGTTAACTCAACTTGAAGATTGTCTTTGCCTTTAGGTTCATAAAGTTGATATACAGTAACTACAGTGTTTTAGTTGTCTCATCGTTGTTTTTTTAGCTGATTGAACTTTTTATAACTTGTTTCAACTTCATAAAGAAATAATTATTTTACTTCATCAATGTAAGAAAACCTTCTCTTAACTAGTCTAACGACATACATTCCCGCATTATACTAGCTCACAGTTTCAAGTTAAAAAACAACTTAACTACATTGATACTACTTTCCATTTCAAGTTAAGATGATTTAAAAAACAAATTCCAAATTTGTTTCAATTTACATGTAGGTATAAGGCAATTCAATTCAATCAACTTTATTAATCCCACTAGGGGCAATTAGTTAAGAGCAGCATGTTTGCAACAATACATAACACAAAACGCACACAACAAACAAGCAGCCAGTATGTGCACATTCAAAACCCCAAAGAACCCTACGGGGAGTTTAAAAGTTGGATCGCCAAAGGGATAAAAGATTTGGACTGGCGGTTCGTCTTACATACAGGTAGTGCATGACGACGCCCAGAAGACTACAGAGAGAATTCACCTGCCAGAGCATGTCCCGGAGAGGCTGTGATACTTGCTGCCTTCCGGACTATTTGTTGGTTACAGAAGGCATTAAGGTCTCTCTCTTTTCACTCCGATGATTTTAGAACAGTTTTAGAACCGCTGGAATTTGAATATATGACTTATTTGCAGTGTAAAATTAGTAGGGATGAGTGAGTATACTACTATCTGTAACGTTATCTGTTCAAGAAATTAACTTATCTGTATCCGTACTCGGCTTTACCTTGGCGAGGCCGGGACTAACTGAAAGTTAGTTATTTAAGCCTGAAATTGGTATGGGTTAAGCTGCTATATTAGTTAGACAACTATTCATTCAACAGCCTCAGAATTGAGCTTCTGAGCATTTTTTTTATTCCAATAGTAAGATTATTTTTTAAAAAGGTTCCTATATTTGTTTATTACAAAACAGATACTGACACATTTTACTGTGACGACACTTATACTAAAAAGTACATTATCTGCACCAGATAATCGTTTCAACCGGTTTCAACCGAGTGCTCTCTCAGTCCTAATTATTAGTTGATTGTGTCCATATTTCGACTTTACAATGGACAGTTTCTCTCAAATTCAAAAGACGCAGCAACTATAGGCTATTTTTTTTCTTTTGCTACCATCCATGCACACTCACCTTTTTTTCAACTGCTAACTTACAAAAGCCAAGTAACACATAAATATCTGACAACAGTCTCAAATATTCAACACAATGAATTTATACAAGTTTGACAGTTGAGTTTAAAATCCAAAACTTGTCAGAGTCCTTTGCGTTAAAAAGGAGAAGTAGGTGGACATAACTAAACATCTAAATGGGGCTGTAATGTAATGTAATTTTTGCTTTGTTGCCAGGCAACAGACCACACTTTCCTCCAAAAGTGTCACTATCACCATGGCAACAGCCCACTGTATCTGAAGCCAAAGATGCCCCACCCAGAGTTCACCATCAAGCACTTTGCTGGCCGGGTCACCTACCAGGTACAAAGCTCCTCAATGGCTCATCTCAAGTGTGAAAACCTGCCACTATTTGATTCACTGACATCAATGACGTTATTGATAGCCTCTGATCTGTACCATAAGTCTGTCTGTTGGTTGGTCAGACAGAAATATCTCAACAATTACTGGATCAATTGCCATTTGGTGCAGACATTTTGTGATCTCTATAACTTTTTATCAAGCACCATTGTCAGGTAAATTTGCTTTGATTCTAAGCATTTGCAAAACTAATTCAGCCTCAGCTGTACTTTAAGTTTATTGCTAATTGGCAAATGTTAGCATGCTAACATGCTAAACTATGATGGTGAACCTGCTTAGCATCAACATGTTAGCAATGGCATTGTAAGCATATTAGCATACTAACATTAGCTTTTAGCTCAAAATCCTAAGTGCAGTCTCACAGAGCTGCTAGCATGCCTGTAGAGTCTTGTATAACCAAGAATAAGAATAAAAAAAACATGTTCATTATGGTGCTAGATAAAAAAGCTATGAGTTTGCCAGTTCATATTGAGGGGGATATAAATGTTGGTGTCAACAAACAATCCTATAGTTTTTGAATATTTCCCTCAAAACACCACCTTATGGTGGCGCTGCAGGAAAAGTCAGGTGATTACTGAAGTAACTGACATTGCCATTCATAGATCCTTGCCACCAGCATGGCAAAACATTTACGGAGTAAAAGTAAAAGTGTGTGAACACAGTTCAACAACATAAAATCTGCTGGAAGAGAGGGAATCTTCCACTGATCGCTGACAGATCTCCCAATAATTTGTCATGTCAACGATGCAGGTTTACAAGTTCCTCGATAAGAACTACGATCAGGTCCGTCAGGATGTCCTGGACCTGTTCATTCAGAGCAAGAACAAGGTGAGACACATTACCCTTAGAGAACTTATCTAATTGATGTGAACTTAAACAATTGGATGCATGTGTGTATTTGTGTGTCCAGATGGTGTCAAACCTCTTCCTGGTTCACGCAGAGGTCACGGGTCGGCAGGGAGGAGGTCACATGAGGAAGAGCAGCACAGTCACCAGAAAATACCAAGCCCCCACCGTCAGCAGCAAGTTCCAGCAGTCCCTGCTGGAGCTAGTGGAGAAGATGGAGAGGTGAACCTGAGAGAAGTGGAACTAAAATAACTGAAAGCACACAGCTGCTGTCCACAACCTGGCACAGATGAGCTGATTACTGACATTACTCACTTGGTTTACTTTTATTCTTCCATTTCAGGTGCAACCCTTTTTTTGTTCGCTGCATTAAGCCAAATAACATGAAGGTAGATGCTCAGACACTCGTATTTCTACTGATGACACTGATTGTGCATGCACGAGTTCAGTCTCCCCGTATCCTGTAGGTAATGACAGTCGTTTTTTTGAATGTGCATCTGTGTTTAGCTACCAGGTGTGTTCGAGGACGACCTGGTCAGCAGCCAGCTGAGACACTCGGGTGTCCTAGAGACCATTAGGATCCGTAGAGAGGGGTATCCTGTCAGAATGCCATTCTACGTCTTTCTGTTCAGGTAACATACTCACAGTGTTATTAACTACTGGAGGGTGGAAGACACTTTGGGACTTCTCTGTGGTCTCTATCGCTCCATTTACTGGCATCATGTAACCATAAAGGTTTAACAAACTGCCTCTTCACTGTCAGCTGTCAGGACACGATCTCAACTTTTAACTGAAATGTTTTGGCAAATGGGAGAGTTTACCCCGAGGGAGATGTACGATTGGCCGTTTCATGCACAAACAAATTACTTCTCCATCGCTTCCTGATAGCATGCTAACACACTGATGTAAGATTAGTGAACTTTGTAAACATTATGCCTGCTTAACATCAGCATGTTAACATTGTCATTGTGATTGTCATTAGCAGGTTAGCATGCTAAAGTTTTGCTCAAAGCACTGCTGTGCCTAGGTACAGCCTCAAAGAGCTGCTAGCATGGCTGTAAACCACCAATTAAAACACAGAATGTGGGAATATCTTTTGGAAGAACGGTGTTCATCCTTCCAGGAGAGTTGAGAGACTTGTTGGATGTCCGCCAAGGAGATTTGAAGCTGCTCTGGCCAATAACTGTACTTGGACACTTTCTAATGCTTTCCCTTTTCACCAATGTAAACTTTTTCATCTGTTCTGAATCTGAATGTCAAGTATCTGGTAGATTTTCTAAAATAAATTATTTGTCACACAAAATAAGATGCATTTTACTTTGCAAGGGGAAAGTTTCAGCAGTTTGTGTTGAACACATAGGAAAGAAGAAGAAGAAGAAGAAGACATACTTTATTAATCCCACAAGGGGAAATTCAATGTTCTCACTCTGGTGTTATTATTGTTATTAGTATACACACAGAGGTCTGAAATACACACACATGCACAACATAAAACCTGCAATAACACACAGAGAGATGTTAGAGTGATAGGGCTTCAGGAGCTTGTTCAAGGCCACCTTCAGCAGTGCCCAGGAGGTGAACTGGCACCTCTCCAGGTACTAGTCCACGCGCCCCAACTCTGGTACTACTACTGCCGTACCGAAAGTTAGCATGGGAAATGATAGCTAACGTGTCTGAAAAAATACAGAAAAGAGCACCACCTGTTGCAGCAGGTTGTGTGTATACATGCATGTGAATGTGTGTCACCTCCAGGTATAAGTCCCTGGTGGGGATGCCAGAGCCTCCAGCAGCAAATGGAGAGAACTGTGTGATAATGCTCAGTAAGCTGTGTCCTCTCAGACAGGGAGCCTACCACGTTGGAGTCACAAAGGTGAGGTTTTCTTCTCATTTGTTCACACTAACCCTTTCACAGATGAAAGAAAGAGTTGAGTTGTTATGTCGGTGTGTACCTCCAACTTTTGATATATACAGTAGCTTAATTTATGCTGTACATGATATATTTGCTTCCACCTCCAAATGATTCGTATGTGTGTGTGTGTGTGTGTGTGTGTGTGAATGTCAGCTGTTTCTCAAGGAAGACATCTACCAGTTATTGGAATGTAAACGGGAGCGCACCCGTCATCTTGCTGCTCTCACCCTGCAGCGCTACACCCGCATGTTCTTTGTCAGAAAACGCTTTGTGGCCTTTCGCAAAAAGATCATTGGGCTGCAGGCACAGTGCCGAGGCTTCCTCACTAGGTCAGCTTCTCTGCTACCTCTAGTTTCACAACTACTGACTGATATAAAAGCCTGTATATATTATATTGTCTCCTCTGTTCACTGTAGTAGTGAGAAAGACAAATAAAGGGGCGACACCAATGTACTGACAGACAAATTTTAAGATTATGTTACAAGTATGTAATTTAATTAAAGTAGTAGGCAATATAATTAAATTAATTTAAATTAAATTAAAAGCCATTACAGCTGTGCCTTTAAGGTAATGATCACTGCATATCACGTGAAAACTGTATAATATCCAAAATACAAATTATTCAGCTAACTACTTAACCAAATTCTGGCCATAAAAACACATTGTAACTGTGACTTCTGTAAGAAAGTACTTGTAGCATGCCTACAAAGTTTCCCTCTTTGCATAAAGTTTTATTAGAGATGTGTTTTTTCATGGTACTCTCATTCTATCCTCCAGGAAGCGCTATGTGAAAATGAGGGAGAGTCTTGTTCGGTTCCGCTCTCTTGTACACATGTACGTCAACCACAAGCGATACATCAAGGTACCTGAAGTCTGCTTTCAAAGGACAATATATCTTCTTTTATATAAAGACGATGCAATCTTGCATGCTGTTCTGTTGATACGATGGAAAATATTGCCCACTTGTGTTTCAGTTTAGTGCTTTAGCATCGTCTTGCTCTGGATTGAAGTGAAAAAGTTTGCGTGTATGATTTCTGTGATCTTTTTTTCAGATGAAGTTTGAATCCCAAAGGAAAGCTGAAGAGGAGAGAAGGAGGAGAGAGATGGTAGGATGAAAGAAACCTATCCTTTTTTTCTCTCACCATTTATAGTCACTTTGCCGGTGAATTAAAAAGCAATGACTCTTTCAGGAGCTGACCAAGAGGGAGGTGGTGAACGTCACACACTTGGTGATCCCTGCAGAGCTGGGGGCATTACTGCAGACGGCAGGAGGTCAGTAAACGTTTGTCTGTCTTCCTTTTAGTCCACATTCATGTTTGTCGCACACATTATTCATGGACCAAATAGCTGAGCACTGTCTTCAGCTCTTTGAATGTGTCTCATCTCATCAGGACTGATAGCGTCACCTCCCGAAATGATTTAAATAGTTCTGACAGAGCGGGACAGGAGTGGCATCAGCTGATAAATAAATCATAAGGGAAAAATAACAAAGAACAAACTTAATGTCACTTTTAGAAAATATTTTAAAACAACTATATGCTCTAAATGTCATGTCTGATCAGCTTCAACAGTAGCAATAGAAAGTAGCACAGTATACATTCATATATATTTCTAGGTGATTAACTTCACTTTTTGGTAGTTTTCATGTTGAAACATAGTTTAAAGGACCAGATGCGCCTACAGTATGGTACTCAGCACTACATGTATGGTGGTTGACTTTGCCCTCGTACCTCTCTCTTTCTAGTCAGGAGGGAGTTGCACTCAGACTGTTTGGCTCTGCTTCAAGCTCCTCATATCCAGGAAGAGGCTCAGCTCACTCTGCCTCTGGACATCAACAACTACCCGTTCTACCGCTATGTACAGATCTACTTCAGGGTGAGATGTGCATCCGTATACTCACAGTATTACAGTCAGCCTCAGTTCTACAGGTCAGGTCATGTATGTGGTTATTACTCAGATTTGACCTCATGAAACGGGTCTGTAAAAATGTGACATGTGAAAAACATGTGAATGTGATTCCACTGAAGGGGTGAGTGGACCAGAGTGGAACTGGTGAATTGGAGTGGAGTGAAGTGGATTTGTTTTGAAAATCACATGTGATGTGTACGTTTATTGCACTTTCTAAAATCACTGCAAATCTTTTGTTGCTGTAGGAACCAAAGTTTGGGATGTTGATGGCACCCCTGGAGTCACCTCTTACCCGCCTAGAGGAGGACCTGAGAGGAGAAGCTCTGGAGCTCTTCATCATGGTGGGCTGACTTCTAAAAAACGTATTCTACAACATTACACAACATGTCAGTTAGTTGTAATGGTTTTTACCTTTATTCGGCTTTTAGGTATTACGATTCATGGGGGACCCTCACCTGAACGGGGCACAGGAGAACATGTTTGGGAATTACATAATCCAAAGGGGCCTGTCATCGCCATCTCCGGGGTTACGGGATGAGATCCTGGCTCAGGTTGTCAACCAGGTGTGGAGGAATGTGAACTCTGACAACGCTGAGAGAGGCTGGCTGCTGCTGCTGGCGTGTGTCTGCAGCTTCGCCCCGTCGACCAAGATGGACAAATATCTACTAAAGTGAGACATGATTTCTTACACATGTGGACCTTCACACGCGTTCACATGCAAACCAGTTAGGTAGCAATGTAATACCTTTACAACTGAAAACAAATATATGTAATCTGATTGCAGCTCACAAGAAACAACTACAAATAACTTTTATTTCCTGGAATAATTTTAATGTGAGAGAGAAAATTCATTTTAAAAAGCCAGATAAGTAGTAGCAGCACAAAATGAAACTTAAAGGGGCTATGTGTAATTTTTTTTTAATGAAATCACTTTTCAATTTACCACACACCTGCTTTCTCAGTCCCTTGGAAGAGCCACTATTCTGCATCATATATGAAGAAATTGTTTTTCTGTATGCGCATTCAATTGATACACTGGTCTCAGTCGCTGTAACGGACGTGACCCATATAATATACAATAATGCAACATAACAGTGCAGGACAACACCACAGCGGAAAACCCATTCAGTATAGTAACATTACGTACTACGGTCTAACTGTTATACTAAAGTGTGGCAACATTTTCATTTATAATATTCAGTCTAGTTCACTAACTGTTATGCCAACAGTATATATGCCATAACTGTTATGCCAACAGTATATATGCCAACACTGTTGAGCTTCTCATGTGAAAGATACAAAACACTGATGTATCATGTCGGCTAAATGCAGTAAATGTAACGTTATCGTGTAATGAGCATGGATTAGTTCAACGTCAAGCTGATAAAAATATTAGTTTGAGTTTCCAGCATTATTTGTGAGGCTCTCTTGTTATGTCCCTGTTGTGGTTTTGACCGACATCACTGCTCGATCATGAGTGTGAGCACGCACAGGAGCACATGCTTGGGAATGTAGTGGTTGCAATCTGAAACCTCACCGCTAAAGGCTGACAATTACACTTGGCCTTTTAAGGAAACCTCATCAACTTTGTAATTTTTTTTTTTACTTTTTCTCAATTTTACCTGTATGTATAGAAGCCCTGAGAGGCAAGTGAGAGAAAAATCCTGTGTTTGAAAGTGTGAAAGTGTTTGTTGTTGTAATACTCATCTTGGCCACACAAGGCTGATACATACAGTATATGGTCTGTTGGCAAGTTATTTATCATTACTGTCATGTCTTTCTTTTGTCTAAAATTGCAGTTTACTAGGCGCATCATCTGGAACAAAGAATGGATCACCAGAATTTTTTTTCTCACTTGCCTGTCAGGGAGTTTCTGTATTTCTGCCTTGATTACAGGGAAAAAGTCTGAAAATGAATTAAATGGATCAAAATACATTAAAGGCTTTTGGTAGTCCCTTAGTACATGTTTCAGTTTTAATGAAGTAATTAGTGGGTGTAACGTAAAACATGAACACTTTAAATAAAAAGTATGACTTCAGTTGTCCTTTCCCCTCAGGTTTGTATCTGACCACGCCCCTGCTGGTTGCCAGGCATTACTGCAACACAGGCTCATCCAAGCCAATCAGAAGACACAGCTAGGCTCAGGCTCCGCCCCCGAGGCTGCTCGGACCTATCCACTGTCGCTGCTGGAGTGGACAGCCAATAGGAAGAAGGCCAACATGGTGTTGCACATGCACTGTCTTGATGGTGAGATGCTTGTTTGACAGTCTGCTTCTTTGCTCTTCATGGGGTGTAATGTCAGAACACTGCAAAGAAATCAAAGGCAGCAGCTGCACAAATATTCACAAAATGTCTATGAAGATTCTCAGTCATCCAGGTCATAGTTATCCAACGAAGGTTAAAAATCAAGGGCAACTGGACTTGGTTGAAGATACTGGAAGACGTTTCGTCCCTCATCCAAAGGACTTCTTCAGTTCTGACTGACTGGCAGGGAAACTCAGCTTTTTAACAAGGAACACTAACGAACCAGCGGTATCGATGACCCGGGATAACGACCCCACTGAGGTTAAATAGCTGAGTTTCCCTGCCAGTCAGTCAGAACTGAAGAAGTCCTTTGGATGAGGGACGAAACGTCTTCCAGTATCTTCAACCAAGTCCAGTTGCCCTTGATTTTTAACCTTCGTTGGATATTCACAAAATGTACTGCTTTTAATTTTTCCCTATACGCTTAGTTGTACAACGTATCTATCCATTTATTTTCAAATCAGCAAAAAATCCAAACTGCTTATCAAATACGATGTAAGTCGTCTTTCTCTCCTACAGTTTAAATGAGCACATGATTCAAAGTGCGTGGCAGGGACTGCTGGCATCAGTTTTATTGAGTGGGATCAATTACAGCTCTTGATCATTGATTATTTATTGCCAGTCAGGATCAGGTGATGGAACTACAGGGCACTCTGTCTTTGAATTTCTTGCATTTTGCTTGTTAACACGACAGAATTTGTGACAAACTATGGAAACAGTTTAAGATGTTTGTTCATCTTATTCATTGATCTCTCTTCGTAGGAGAATCATTCCTGTGTCCGGTCCATTCCTGGACCAGTGGAGAGGATTTAGCAGGGGACATACTGCGCCACAGGTGCTGACATGTCATATTTAAGTATAAGACACGAGTTCACTTGATTTATTTAGGGTAGATCATTATTTGTATTTGTAAATTTTGCTTACATTTTAATGAAACTCCCAGCATTGTAATATTAATTTTACTGCAAAAGATCCACACAATACACAATGCTTCTGAGTGCAGTATTAACAGGTATAGGCAGGTATTTGAAGCGTGTGGTCTTGCTTTCAGGGGAGTGTCCGACTGGTGGAGGGGGAGTTCAGTTCTGATGAAGGAGCGCGGCCAGTGGGTAGAGTTGGCGGGTCACGACTATGTGATGGACCTGATTGCAGACCTGGAGCTTCCGCCTGACTTCCCAAAGCAGAAGAGCTATTTCGTCATCAGCACTGACGACCCTGCTAGAGTCAGAGCTAATGCCAGTCTGTTAGTACACAGATACAGGCATGTACAAATATCTGAATTGTAGATATTTACACCACAGAAATGAATTTACTGCTCCTCTCCTCTCCTCTCCTCTCCTCTCCTCTCCTCTCCTCTCCTCTCCTCTCCTCTCCTCTCCTCTCCTCTCCTCTCCTCTCCTCTCCTCTCCTCTCCTCTCCTCTCAGAGCTTTGTTTGGCACTGGCTTTGACTCAGATGAGGAGCTTCCTCCTGCCTTTCCTCTCAGCAGCAGCAGCAGACCAGCCTACAGTCTGCCGGACTCTGACGGTTACTACAGCCATGGTAAATACACACAGACACACACACACACACACACACACACACACACACACACACACACACACACACACAGACACACACACACAAATATGTCCTGAATTTTACTACATACACATATCAACAATAATACGTACAGCATTCACAAGTCTATGAGTCTGTTGTAATATAATATGCAGTAACTTCAGTAATTAGTAATTATTAGTAGAATCATGAATGTATGGAATTTAACTTGTATCCTATTACTACACTATATCTACCAGTAAAAATGTCAGTTTATTCCAGTTAGATTATTATGGTTTCTGGTTATTAAAACACTGGATGTAAAGTTTACTTTAGATACTCTGCTTTCTGTCTGTGTCCAGTAGAGTCGGATGCGTTCAGTGACGGTCAGACTCAGAGAGGAATGGACCGTTACCTGGACAGTCTGTTTGACCCTGTGCTGTCAGACAGCAGCATAGTGAGTACTGACCTTGATCTATAAGAATCGGCACATCCTAACCATACTTTCCCTTCTGCTTTTGATGCACATTACTGCTGCAACCAATAATTGATTAATAAGTTAGTTAGTTGGTCTTCGAAAACACTATAAAACATTGCAAGCTGGTGTTGGGACTGAATTTACTTCATTATGGTGTGCATTGTTTTCATTATTATCAGATGAAACAACCAAGACTTAAAATCAGAGGAACTGAGAGGAAGTTTTTGTAAGTTCTGAAACTGTCTGAAAATGAAAATGCTATAAATAGCTATAATTAATAGAACGTACATACAAGAAGTTCCCAGCTTCTCACATAGGAGAATTAGCTGTTTTTCTCTGTATCATTGTATCATATTATAAATTGAACATCTTTGGGCTGACTGTTGGTCAGACGAAACAAGCAATTTGAAGACATCTACTTTGGCTCTGGCAACATATGATCTTTTTTAAAATGTCCAAAATTGCACAGGCTAATCAATTAATGAAAAAGTGGGTAAAAAAGCAGATTAAGGCATAAAGGAAGTTCTCATTAATTGCACTTTCGAAATGCATAAAACTGTCCTGTCATGCTCCCTCCACCTGAGAGTGTTGATGGATGGAGGGAACATGTGAGCCACTGCTTGTGTTTGTGTATGAATGGAGCAGACAGGAGGGACGATTAGGTTACCGAGCGGCCTACCGTATTTGACTCTAACAGCAGGCAGCATGCATGCACAGCTCTGTGGGAGTTACTGTCCCGTTTAAATTCTGTATATTGAGGCAAAAGGCCCCGTCATTGGGAGAAAACAGGAAGGAAGTCAGTCACTGCAGGTATGTTTAAAGTGTTAACTACGGTTCTTAAAGACATTACGTGAAGTTGATTTTTTTCCCCCATCTTCGTAGGTTTTCCATACCAGCTGTTAATGATGGGGGTGATGACATGAGACCGTTTTACTTGGATTTTCTGTTGATGAAGTTTGAGCTATATATGTGACTATATATTGATTTACCTGTGCAGCAAAGAGTTATAGCTATTTGTTTGTGTTGTGTTGAGACAGTGGGGCTTGTTATGTTGCAGAAAATTTTTTGGGAGACTGGTAGTACTTTTTTGTCTTCACGAGTTTCTGCTGCGCTGAAGCTTCTCCTTCAGTGTGTACGGTACTTCCTGTGGTGTATTCAGTTCCTACAGCTCTACTGACTAACTCAATGGGGGGTCTGAATCAACCTATACAACCCACTTCCTCTTTCTCGTGCCCATTGTCTCTCCTTTTTCTGACACACACACACACACACACACACACACTCTTCTTACCCTTCTCTTTATGTCTCTCAAACTCCACTTTCTCAACATCTACAACCGTCCTTTTCCACCTGCTGAATCTCTGTTCACCTGCTGCTCTCTGGCTACCAGGACATGAAAAAGACTGGAAGTTTGTCAGCAAGGATGAAGGGAGGAGGAGGCGTAGGCATCCCAGGAGGAGGAAGAGGAGAGGGGGAGAGTCATGCGACTCCCAGCCGGCCTTATCCACCAGGAATACATCCCGGAGGTAGAACACTGACATTAGTGTGTTTCCTGTTAATTACAGTATATCTGGTGTTAGTGGAGATTGTAGTTTTTTGTATTTGTGTTATTTAGTTTAGTGTCTTTCCTGCGAGTTCAAACTGCATGTTGTTACAGGCTCAACTCTTTTCTTACTCTTCTTCTCTCTTTAATTTAAAAGTCACGCCTCTCACTCTTTTCTTCTCTCCACTGACATCAATAATTTAGCTTCTACGTTGCATTAGTATTACTAAGCATTTGTCTCAGCTTGGGCAGCACGGTGAGTTCAAACCCTGGTTTCCCCGGCCTTTCTGTGTGGAGTTTGCATGTTCTCCCTGTGTCTGCGTGGGTTCTCTCCGGGTGCTCTGGCTTCCTCCCACCATCCAAAGACATGCAGGCTAGGTTAATTGGTGTTTCTAAAAGTGTCCTTAGGTGTCAGTGGTTGTTTGTCTTTGTGTGGCCCTGCGATGGACTGGTGACCTGTCCAGGGTGTACCCCGCCTTGTGCCCAATGTCAGCTGGGATTGGCTCCAGCCCCCACTGCGACCCTGTACGCAGGATAAGCGGTTGATGATGGGTGGATAGTCTCAGCTTGATAAATAGTTTTGCCCTCTTTCTCACTATAGTACTTCCCCTGAATGCAAGAGACACTGTTTTGGGTTATTCAGTTTTAAACCTCCACTTCCTTGGCAATTATTGATTTCTGGCTAATAGTCAAATGAAGTGGTGAACAACCAACAGACAGACAGAATATAACAACAAAATAACTGGCAACAGCAATATTTATTATTATTATTTCAATGTTGTTTAAATGTGAAGGCTAAAGTGTCTTAGTGACACTGAACATGAGTGAAGTGTAAAGGTTCAGGTGTAGAGTTTACCAACCTTAATCTGTCGCTTAGCGTCTGTAATGAGCAGTCTGACCTCATAGATAATGCATAGACAACCATTCACTGTAACCACAGATGACTTTATTCTATGTCTTGCTACGCAAATAACTCTCATCTTTTACCCTGTCTTTGGAGAATATTTTCAATCCTCAAAGGCATCTCTCCCCATTGGACAAGGTGCGAAAATAGGTAGCAAGAAAACAATGTCTACATCAAGAAGACTAAGTCAAGAGTCTAGGCAGCATGCTAACATACTGATGTTTAGCAAGTAATATTTACCAGGTTCACCATCTTAGTTTAGCCTGTTAGCATGCCAGCATTTGTTGATTAGCGCTAAGTGCAATGTACAGAAAGTAGTTTTGCAGGTATCTGGCCATAAACCAAAGTACAGGACAAATCTGATGGCACCAGATGAAAAGTCAGGGATCAACATTGTCATTAGGATACACATAGGATCATCTGAGAACCATGAATGTCATTACAAAATGTTGTGCCAATACATGAACTAGACATCAAGCTATATCACTGAGTCAAGGAGGATTGTCAAAGTCACTCGAGTTTGTCCTCAATGGACCTTGAATATCTGTAGCTAATTTCATGGTGATATATCCAATAGTTGTTCACTTGTTGCTTCAGTCTGAACCGCAACGTCGCAGTGGCGCTAAATGAAAAGGGAAATCAGCAAAGCCTTTTGGGATTCATCCTCGGGGGATCATGAATGTCTGTATAAAATTTCATGCCAATCCATCCAGTAGTTGAGCTGAGATATCTCAGACTGGACCAAAGTGGTGGATCAACTTACAGACAGACCAACAGACGGACTGACATTGCCATTTATAAAACCATGTCAGATTCAGAATAAAAAATATGCCTTCTGACAACATTTCTGTTATATCCACAATAATTTCTAAGGAATAAATTGTTAAAATGTACAAAAACTGGTTGTAGGAGTCTGTCTTACTCTTACTGTGAAGTGCTGATTAGCTTTACAGGTCTTGGCTGCCCAGGATGAAAATACCAATAAAGTCAATTTAAAACAGACACAGAGTCCTGGAAGCAGCACTGTCCCTAACGCTCACTCTGTTCCTCCTCAAGCTGTGCCAGTGCTTCCTGTAGCAGGAGGAATGATGCCACCCATCCCTGCCATGCCAATCCCCTCCCACCACCATCACCATGAACAACACCAGCAGCAGCAGCAGCAGCAGCAGCAGCAGCAGCAGCAGCAGCTTCACCAATACAACAGTCTCCCACAAACCTACCACCAGCAGACTTCTACGACTACTCCTGCTACACGTGTAACACCCACTCCGTCACCCTCTCTTGCACCCGCAGCTGCCCCCGCTGCTGATATAGAAACTGGTGTAGAATCTCATGTCACTGGTGTCCCCGGTCTGCCAGGGGTGCCCTTGCTCCCTGCCACGTCTGTGGTTCCAGGCTTGCCTATGATGACAGGTGTGCCAGGTACTGTTAGGATTTCCAGCATGTTTGGCCTGAAGTATGTGGGCATGGGGGAGTTACAATAAGTTACATTTGTTGTTAGATAAAAGCCATATCTTATTTATATGATGCATTTTGTTGTGTGCTTTGTCTACTGGGACTTTTGCAGTGAACTGAGTGTGCTTCTACAACAAAATCATCTTTACGGTGTCTATGTTTATATGTTTATACCTCTCTAGGATCAGAGCAGGCAGTACTGACTCAACAGCAACAGGCCATAATCAACCAGCAAGCTATGATTCTGGTTTGTCACATATCCTTTTTCTGAATAACTTTGATATTAATGCTACTGTTGGTGTATTTGTTGGAGTTACATGAAAAATATATAGTAACACTAAACAGGGTTTTCCAGGGGTGGTGTGACAGACTATTTATGGGCCAGGAGCAGTAACTTCTTGTACGCTTTGCAAGTTGCCTGGAAGCCTGTTAATTAGTGAGCTTTAGATGTGCTGGTAGGCAGATTTTGTTACTGTTGGACAGAGCCAGGCTAGCTATTTCCCTCAGTTTCCGGTCTTTATGCTAAGGTAAGCTAACTGTCCGCTGGCTTTAGTTTCATATTTACCTCATAGACTTGAGTCTATGAATGTAAGTCTCAGCAAGAAAGGGAATTGTTTCCTAAAATGTTGAACTATTTCTCTAACATGAAACAAATTAGGTTAAATTGATAGTTGACACTGAGAACAGTAGATAAGTTGATACTCAGTGAAGTATAAACATTTAGTCATTTGTAATTCCCAGCTGTTAGTTATTAGTTGATGTCAACACTGACGATAAATGTTGGACCATCCAAATTAAGTAAAGTAAAAATGTATCCATCATGTGAAGGGGTAGTATGAGAAATGAAGGAAGAATGGAGGTATATTGTTGGTGAAATATATACTGTATATACATAAATATGTGGGTGTGTTGCAGGCCCAGCAGATGACAATGCAGGCCATTGCGATCCAGCAGCAGATGTTGTCTTCCTTCCCCCCCGTTGCCCCGGCCCCCCAGTCACCACCCTCCCAGCATCATCACGCACACTTGCCACATGGCTCTGACACAGCCAGCCCTGTGAGTAAACACACAGGCGTGTGGCGAAGCATGAACATGCATATGGGTACACTAGCCAGCATGTATACAAATCCGAAATACTGTCTTAAAATAATAACATATACATCAGCTGTATCACTTTCTCTTTTTCTGCAGAACAAAGAGAGTGAAGAGTCGCCGTACAAGCCTGCTGCTGTTCAGCGAAAAACTAGTATGTTTTTATACTCACGCTCAAATTAACCTCGGCTGATTTGCTGTGTGGTGCGAATCCCGTGACTAAGCTCCAGGATGCTTTTCTTGGAACTTGAGTTTTTCCTTAAAAATGAAAGACACTCTTTGATCTAGTGCCTTCGTATGAAGTTTGCAGGTTTTGAAACATTTGTGGAAGTGTCAACATTATTCTAATTGAGTGAATTAACATGTGAATGGTATGGGGTTTTATGAGGCGTTAAAACCATACAGAAAGGACCAAAGTTAAGTCCAAACATTTGCACCTGATCTAATAGAAAGGTACATTTCAGGTCCAACACGTGGCCCCCCTCCTGAGGACGTGGTCCGATCCAGCGCGAGTAACACAGAACGTGTAGATCCCAGCCACGACATCAAAGACATCATCAAACATCACCAGCCTGCCAGCACAACAACTTCTACTGGACCTGCTACACAAAGGTAACACGCTCATAACTCCTAACCTAAATATTCTTCTAATATTCTGATAATAGCATTTCGATCGTACACTTATTTGCTTCTTAAACTGTGTGTGTGTGTAGGAAAGGTGATGGAAAGATGTTTGCAAAGAAGCCAGACCCACATGATGAAGCGATGGAGATCCTTAAAGATCAGATGGCAAATCCACCACAACCGGTACGGCAACTCCGCCTACACACGTGCACACACACACACACACACACACACACACACACACACACACACACACACACACACACACACACATTTAAAACACACAAATTAAATAAAACTATCTGACCTTTTATGTCTCAGACTCAAAGGAAGCCTCAGTCCTCTCAACATAAACAAGAGGGAGGACTGAAGGTTTCCAAGATGAACAAGTCTCGCCATGAGGGTCTTGCGAGCTCCAACATAAGCCCCGCCCCTCCTCCAGGTGAACTTTTCACAAATTAATGTGACATACATCCCCAGTAATAAACAGCAGAAAGACAGAAAGCTCTTTACTCCTTTCATTCCTGCATGTGAACATGTATGGGAAGTACATGGTGAGAAAACCTTTGTGTTTCCAGTCTCTAGAGAGTTGCCAATAGAGGAGGAGATTGTTCAGACTCAACTCCACAGCAGGACCAGTGATGAATATTACACTTACTCCAACGTCCCCTGGAAGATCTACATGAGGAAAGAGGTGTGTTTCATGAGCACACAAACACATTAACACAAATGGACAAAAGTAATCCACAGTGCCCTGAAATGATACAACAAATTGCACACTGAAGCTTCAGTCACACACTGTAAAAACAAAGACCTTCTTTTACTCAATGTTATAATGCTTTAATATCATCAAATTGTATCATTATTTACTAAAAATATTTTTTAATATTTTTTTCTCTTTGTCTGTTTACAGGTTTTCTATCCTAAAGAGACTTTCAACAATCCACTGATTCTGGACCTGATCTTCAGACAGGTTGATTTATATATTCATTATTTATTTAAATTTGACTTGTTTCTCCATTTATTTTGTATTAAGTTAATTTGTTCATTTATCATTGTATGCCTTAATAAGTCAGGTTTAGTTTTTCTTTATTGCAGAGTTTAGTAATTATATTAGCTGGTGAAAAGGTTAAAAGTAGTGTTTTTAATATAGACCAGCATTATCATTATTGTAAAAGAATACATTTACACAGTTTTGAGTACTTTATGAACTTGGCTTTTGCTTGAATGCTAATACTTGTTCCCATTTAATAAGTATTGTTATTCCTGAATGTGCATTTGTGCTGCAGGTTGTACATGATACCTTCTCCGAGGCCTGCATCCGCATCACCCAGGAGGAAAGACTGAAGATGAAGGCTTTGTTTGGTATGAAAAAACACTTGATGTAATGTTACTCTGTGGTCTAAAGGCTCATAGACAATTTAATATAAACTGCTCTACATTTACAGCATGTGAAAGACTTTTTAATACTTTGCTTAAACTCCTTTTTTTCCATTGACAGCTGAAAACAAAGTGGATCAGGTTTCAGGAACGCATGATGAGAACGTGAAGAAGAAAGTAGCCGCCATGGCCAGAGACTCATGGGACATTTATTTCTCCCGCCTCTTCCCAGCTTCTGTGAGTTCTTGTCTTCTTCTTGGCATGCATGAATTAAACTGAAAAGTGCATAATAAACCTAAAGCAGCCTTCGTCCTTCACTTGGTTTAATAGGCTCTTATGTGACGGTGTGTTTGTGTGTGTGTGTGTGTTCCAGGGCAGTGTGGGAACAGGAGTGCAGGTGCTGTCTGTGTCTCATAAAGGCATCAAGCTGCTTAAGATGGTGAAGAGCAGCTCTACTGCTCCAGACTACTTCAGAGTGCTGAGGCCTTACAGGTGAGTCTCATAGACTGTACAAAAAGGTGGACATGTGTCAGCTGTAGGTCATCTATATTTCCACCTTTTCAAGCCTTTGTGTGTTCTTATTTAAACATCCCCTAAAAAGAAGTCAGAAGACGGGAAATTAACCATTGATAGTTGTCCAAGTGTGATTGCAGTCTCTTTAAAGTCTTAATTCAAATAAACACCAAGAAAAACCAAGTGACTTTTTTCAACATTCTGTGTCAAGTGTTCCACTGATTTGAATCGAGACACCTTTTTCTGTCTCTCTTTAACTTTATGAAAACTGTTTTTTTGCGTGTCACTACCCGTGCAGCTATTCGGACATCCTGTTCGTGTCGATTCCGTCTAAGAACATGCTGGAGTTCAACCTGACCAACGAGAAGCTGATCCTGTTCTCGGCCAAGGCGCCACAGGTCAAACACATGATCGACCACTTCCTCACAGAGCTTAAGAAGGTCAGGGGGCTTCTGTGTGAATGTGTTTTTTTTTGCCAAAGCAGCAGAGGCAGGGATATCCTTACTTTTAGTGCATATATGAATCAAGCTCCAAAAACCCCGGGTCCGACATTTTCCATAATGCAGCTCAATAATGACATCACTATGACATCATCAGGATTATTTTCTTTAACTTCAGGCTCAGGCTCAGTAGGACTGATCGTTATGTGTAAAATTGGTTGTGTGCTCCTTTAACATATTTCCAGTGTCTTGTTATACTGTACTTTCAGAGCTTAAACTGTCTTAGGTATTAGTATCTATATGTTTGATGTTAATATGCAAGCATGATTGTTTGAGTTTTAATGGCTTCAGCATAAAGCAAAGCTGTTTCTCTCTGTCATTCTACATTAAGTTCCTCACACAGCAAACAGATAAATGTAAACTATAAATGTGATGATGTGTTTTTCGCTCACACCTCCTCTTTGGACCACCGAGGATTTTGCACCATGTCTGTGCCGAACGTGTCATGTCTCTTTCAGGACTCAGAGTACGTGGTGGCGGTGAGGAACTATGTTACAGAGGACAGGACTCTGCTCAGCTTCCACAAAGGAGACATTATCAGACTACAGCACATGGACGGGCTGGAGGCCGGTGAGACGCACACCCAAAACATAGCTAAAACACTCACAGGCCGAGCACTGGCACAGTGGTATCTTTATAGACCTGCATTCTGCTTCAGTATATATACAGTATGTCTCTGCTTGTCTGTGCCTCATGCCATGGTTGGCACGTTGTGTGTGTGTGTGTGTGTGTGTGTGTGTCTATGTGTATGCATGTTCAGGAAAACATTACGGCTGCATAGTGAGGAAGAAGGTCATGCTTCTGGAGGAGCTGAAGAGAGACACTTCTGAGTTTGGTGAGTTTGGTAGGGTTTTCTTTTTACAGGTTGGTTTGAATTTTAACTTCTACATATGTTTTTCTGCCTTTTTTTTGACTTTTTTGTTTTATTGATTGAACTGAGGATTGAGGATTTGCTGCTTTATAAATGCAAAAACATAAAGTGAATACTTTTGGCACAACAAAACGTTTGAAGACATCACTTCACTTGTGTTTTGCGTGTGACAGTTTGGGGTTTGTTTGTAACACTTGATGTGTTTCTGTGGTGCACATGAACCTCTCACTGTGTGTGCGATTGTGTGTATAGGCTGGCGGTTTGGGGCTGTGTATGGAAAATCAGGACTGTTTCCCACTGAGTATGTCCGTCCTGTGGCTGCTCCGGACTTCCTGGTTCTCCCTGCTGAGCGCGTGGAGCCTCGAGACAGACAGGGACGAGTGGCTGCATCCGCTGCTATCGCCGTGGCAATGGGCTCAGCTGTAGCTGCCCATGAGCTTGACCTCTCCACAGAGGTGCAGAGCAGGAAGTTTTTTACTTGCGTTACAGCAGCATTTTTCTACACAACAAAGAAACATGATGCTTATTTGCAGCTTCCACAGTACATCAAGGCAAAAAATATCTAAGTCTGAATTCCACACTCAGAGCCAGAATAACTTTCAGATTTCACCATGAATTGTAACCCTATATTATGGTATGAGCAGCTGTTTATACAGTATATGCTGGAATTTTTTAGTTTGCAGAAATGCAAATATTTTGTAGATAATTACATCCTTGGTGTTCCTTTAAGTGGTGTGGTGGTGCTGCTTAGCTTTTTACTGCTGTGCGTTGTTATGTGTGTGTATCAGGCAGTAAATGAGATGTATGGGGAGAGTCTGAGCGCCGAACTGGACGATCTGCCTCTGCACAGCGGCCAGTACCATATGACTGAGTTTGCCAAGAAATACTTTAGAGAGGCACAGAGAAACAGAAGGTTAGACACGCACATAATGCCGAAATAACATGTCCTACCTTTAAAGGTCTATAGCTCAATTTGGTTCTCGCTGCAACAAGTTAATTGAGCATGTATACTCACACAGTTCACACAGTGCTGCCTGTATTTTGCCCACAGTGATCAAAAAGCCAAAAAGGGGAAGGACGGAAGAGATCCTGCTGACATGGTCAAATTCTCCAAGGTAAAGCAGCTGCGTTTGCTTCAAAGCATAACCATTCCATGTCTTTGTATTCCTGTATATGTTATTTTAATTTCTAACAATATTATTGCTAATTGTTTGTCTCTCCAGTCTCCGATCCAGGAGTCTCTGATCGACTTCTCCGACAGTGGGATGAACAGAGTGGCAGCTGACATCTTCTTAGGTGAGAGGAGAGTATGGAAAGGAGGAATGGAAACAGATAGGAGGTAGAAGACGAAGGTACAGAAGCAGTCCGTGGCTGCAGATGCTATTATTTTAAATTCATAGTTTGCTGTTTTAGAAAAAGACACAGGTCTTCAGATCAAGAAAAGGAAACAGTCTTACTTTTTCTTCTACAATGAACAAAATAATAAACACAACACTTTTGTTTTTGCCCCCATTCATCAGGCGTGTTTCCAGGCTCTTGAAACATTGGGGGCTTAGCCCAGCCCAGAAATCTTTCTTATTTTCAGCTATTTTCTTGATTTTTCTTTGATTTTTCATTTCTTTTCTTTTCTCATTTAATTTAATCCCTGCTGAGTCTACATACATGCAGGCATGACTGATGTAGCCTAAAGTCTTTTTAAATGTACATGTGGCACCTTTTCACCTCAAGGATAAATTTGCTTAATTAATTTGAATTAATTTAGAAACTCCTGGACTTTAATAGCTCCTGTGTTTCAGCAGGTTTTCTGCTCATGTTCAAAACATTCTGCACGTTCAGAATCTCCACCACATATCTGTGTTCTGACATTTACAGAATAATATTTAGAGATAAAAGTTGTAATATATAAATAAATATCGTTAGAGAATGAAGTCATAATATTTTAACAAAATCTACCTGCCCCTCTGCTGTTCATTACCCTGCGCTATTGCTCTGCTAATATGGTAGTAGGCTACCTCCTTTAGACCATCTGACAGACACAGAGCCCGTCTGCGACTGTAGGCTACTGGATGAGACGAGCGCACTGATCTTCATCAGAGTAAAAAAAATGGAAACTGAAAAAACTTGTGATGAGACAGAAATATCACCACAAATCAACACAAATGTTCATTTCAGCATCTCTGATAAAGTGCAGCTCACAGCCGCTTCAGAGAGAATTAAGCATCCTGAAGCAGAGAGATAGTAAAACAGTAGTGTCTCTGACCGAGGGGGACAAAGATAGCAGGACACAGAGCGTCAGGTGCGTCATGTTATTCTCTCACTACAATGCGGGAACTGTTAACTGTTTGTGTAGCAAATGCATTGACTAGACACTGACTAACAACATTTATATTTAAATCTTTTGATTACAATTTTGCTAGGGACAATTCAGTAATCACGGACAAGTCCTGAAGCTGTGTGCAATGTTCTCTCTGTCTTTCTCTCTCTCTCCCTTATATATGGAGATATGGAAACTATTTTTGTTGCTCTTGTTGAGTTACATTCAGGGCTACAGTGTTAAAGCCCCGGAAAAATGACCTGGTGACGCTGATGCCATTCATCATGAGCTGAACTCAAAGATCTAAGACTTTCTCTATGTACATAAAAGACCTATTGCTCTCAAATATTGTTCACAAATCTGTCAGTGAGCACTTTTCCTTTGCTGAGATAATCTATCCACCTCACATGTATGGAACATCAAGATGCTGATCAGACAGCATGGGTATTGCACAGGTGGGCCTCAGGCTGGCCGCAATAAAAGGCCACTCGAAAATGTGCAGTTCCATCACATAGCATGATGCCACAGATGTTGCAAGTTTTGAGGGAGCGTGCAGTTGGAATGCTGACTCTAGGAATGTCCACCAGAGCTGTTACCCGTGAATTGAACGTTCATTCTTTCTACCATAAGCAGTCTCCAAAGGTGTTTCAGAGAATTTGGCAGTACATCCAAACGGCCTCACAACCACAGACCACGTGTAACCACACCACCCCAGGACCTCCACATCCAGCATCTTCACCTCCAAGATCATCTGAGACCAGCCACCCGGACAGCTGCTGCAACAATTGGTTTGCATAACCAAAGAATTTCTGCACAAACTATCAGGAACCATCTCAGGGAAGCTCATCTACATGCTCGTTGTCCTTAACGGGGTCTCAACCTGACTGTAACTTCACACAGCCACTGAAGAGGAGTGGACCAGTATTTCACGGGCCACAATCAACAACCTGATCAACTCTATGCGAAGGAGATGTGGTGGACTGTGTGAGGCAAATGGTGGTCACACCAGATACTGACTGGTTTCCGGACCCACCCGTACCCTCTCAATACAGTGAAGCTGCACATTTTCGAGTGGCCTTTTATTGTGGCCAGCCTAAAGCACACCTGTGCAATACCCATGCTGTCTGACCAGCATCTTGATATGCCACACCTGTGAGGTGGATGGATTATTTCGGCAAAGGAGAAGTGCTCACTAACACAGTTTTTGACAGATCTGTGAACAATACTTGAGAGAAATAGGCCTTTTGTATACATAGAGAAAGTCTTAGATCTTTTAGTTCAGGTCATGATGAATGGGGAAAAAACAAAGTGTGTAGTGTAATTTTGTTCAGTATATTTCATGAGATCATTTGTTTTTTGTCCAGCCATAATGAAGTTCATGGGAGATTTCCCACTGAAAGGTCAGACTGAACAGGACCTGGTCACCACTATACTGAAGGTACACAGGCAGACACAAAAACACACGCTCTCACATGTTTGATAGGCACATAAAATATTAAGATTATGAAGGAAAAATACCTGAAACAAGCTCAGGTATTTGTGTATGCTTATACACGCTTTTTATTTAAAAATGTGTATGTGTTTACATGTGTATCTGCACATATTCCTTCATGCATGTGCTCGTAAATCTAGTTAAGTGGCGACCATGGCCTGATAAAGGATGAGGCCTACTGCCAGGTGATGAAACAAGTTACGGTCAACACCAGCTCCAAACCGTAAGACTCTTCGACATTTTACAACTTGTGTTGACTGAGGACTCAATCATTGCTAGTGTGGCCATGGACAGGCTTTTAATTTGCAGTTGTGTGGATATTTTGTGTATAGGGACAGTTGCCATAGAGGATGGAGGCTGTTGTACATCCTGACAGCTTTCCATCGCTGCTCTGATGTTATGAAGCCATTTCTGCTGAAGTTTCTGCAGGACGCCTGTGATAACCCTGGGATGCAGTACCAAGGTAGAAAGTCTACCAACAATGTAACACTCATAAACCAATCACTACCAGTTTGACAGTATTCTTGATAATCGTTGATGCGAGTGTTGATTGGCTGCTGCTGTTAATTGGCAGGTATTGCCAAGGCATGTGAGCAGAATCTGAGGAGGACTTTTCAATATGGTGGACGTGCACAGTATCCTAACAGCATGGAACTCAAGGCTATGCTGGTTAGTCTCTAATTCAGCCATGTAGTCTTCTTATGCAGCTTATATATGGCTTGAAGTGCAAATTCTATGCACCAAACCAAAAAAGAAACTATAAAGCACAATGATAAAGGGAATATAAAAATAATGTAATAATTTGCTGTATGATGGAATTGCAAAAAATATTTACAAATTTGACCAATTCAGTAGATTTTATTACAGCTTATGTCATGAATGGAAACAAAGCTAGACAAGGACACATGAAACTGATCACTACAAATGATCACTGGCTCCGTATTTTTTGGACACGTAAAATAGTCTGTCTAAATATGTGAAAACACTTTAGGGCTGACCCCCTCTAGTCGAAGATTCGATGCTTCGATGAGCGGAGCCTGATTCGACTGTCAATCTCACAGTCGAAGCTTCGCAGCTAAACAAGGATCACGCCATTTTGGCAATATCGGGTGCTCAACATCTGATTTTACATAGATCTACCAGTTTTCTCTCAATAAGTTAATATAAAGCCTATTACAATAAACATTTCAACGTTTAATGCTGTAAATAAACATGTAAAGAAATGTTAAGAAAAAAAACTTCCAATAAATGTTTTTAAAGTGCGTAAATAAATCCAAAATTGGAACCCTAACCCTGGGTCGTCAGTGCGCATGTGTATGCGTAGCATGTGTGCAGTGGCAGGAGAGATGGAGCCCCAACTGGTGTTGTGCCGAGTTGTCCGCACCTCGCGGGGCTTTCGGATAATTTATCACCGTTGATGAACCACACAAAGAATATTTCATCGTTTTTAAACAACCGCTACTTGAAATAGACCCGCCAGGAACCGCGTCACGGCAAAAACTGCACAAGACCGGTGAATGACAGGCAAGAGAGAGAGAGAGAGAGAGAGAAGAGAAAATGGTCAACAATAAGCCTCAGTTTAGCTTCAGCTCGCAATCGCCTTGCACAAAAACACACATGAATCGACTATCAGTCGACGATTCTGATTCGACTATGTAAATCCTTAGTCGGGGACAGCCCTAATTCAATTATAGCCTACAGATGGGCTACATCTAAGACACTGTCCCATTAATTAATTAAGATCTCCTCTTGAAAATCACAGAGGCTGCAGGGCTCGCTGTAGGCCTATGAATGTAGCCTAAAAAGAAAAAACTTCATTTCAGCTGCAACCGCAGTGGAACAAGTCAGAATGAAATCTAAATATTTTATCAAGTATTGATAAATTAATAAATACTTTAATACTTAATACTTCTCATCATTGACACTGAGTACAGATGTGGAATGTAGTCCGTGTGCACAGGGTAACCTCGAGTTAACCATGAACAAAACCAGCTCAGAGCAGTTTAGAGATGCAGCATAAATTGCCATGGCAACAGACCACCTTTGGTAGTACGGGTTAATCGGGAAATTACACCCGAAGTCACAAAGTTACTCCAGAAGTTACCTGGATAAGCCAGTTACCTTGCTACGTAGTACAGGCCACTGGGCAGGGAACAGAGACAAAGACATGTATGTAAGAAGTGGACGTAGTCATCGTGACGTCACCTGTTGGTTTGTGGACTGCCGTTTTGAAGTATTGAGTTTGGCTGATAAGGCACTGCAATGTTGAGTTTTTGCAACCAGCGGCACCGGATGTGACCACATTTGGACAAGACGGTGGAGCTAATCGCCGTGTGCGGAGCTAGCTAGCTTGCTTAGCTAGGTGTATCTGTAATTCACGTTAACTGTCATTTCAACAGAGCTGAACATTTTGTCTGGCGAACAACAGTATTAAAACTAGATGTACTCACCAGAGAAAGTGAAGAGCCAACTCCTAATACGCTTTTTCAACAGCTCTGGTTAAATTTACACAGCGCCAAGGGTATGATTCACTCTAAGGTTGCCATGGTAACGACTTGTCAATCATAGATAATCCCGCCCTGAAGCATACTCTGCTTTATGGTTTATTTTCCTCTAAATGGGACCATGGTTTACTAAATGAACATCATGTTGTATTGAAGAAGACTTCAAACTAGCGATTGAGACCAGTAACTCATCATGAAAGTGTTTACTGAGGTAGTTATTCAGCTGAGAGGGTAGGGTCATTTTACCATTATTTCAAATGGAACTGGTCTTCTTTTTGCAACCAGAAGAGTCGCCCCCTGCTGGTTGTTCAATAGAATGCAGGTTTAAGGGACTTCCACATTGGCTTCGTGTCTCAGACCGGAAGCTTCCCGCTTGAACAGAGACAGGACCAAGCAGGAAACAGGACTATGCTAAACATGGAGACATAGGACTAAGGACAAGCACTAAGACATAAAATAAGAATTAAGATGAGAAAAGGAAAGAGGCTAATAACAACAACAGGTAAAGACTAAACATGCAACAAAAACAGAAGAATAAACAAGGCTGCACAGAAGAAACACAAAACCCCAAACCATGACAGACTAAAAACAAGAAAAACATGAACATAAAACAAAGTCCTAACAGATATAGCCAATCTATATTATATTATGAATTAGACATAAATGTTGAGAATGGGTTATGTTTTTGTATTTGCAAACTTGATAAAATACTCAATTATAGTAGTATTCATACTTTTCTACGTAAGGCATCTGTTGTGTGTATGTGTGAGTTTGTGTAGCAGCTGCTTTCCTGCTGTCAGCAAGGGCTGGTCAATCCATCCTGGTGTTAGCTCAGTTGACATTTCTCTATGTGATTGGTTGTTTGCACACAGGCTGGGCGGAGCTCCAAGAGACAGCTGTTCCTGCTACCAGGTGGGATCGAAAGGCACTTGAAAATCAAGACGTGCTCTGTAAGTTGCGCACGCACACACACACACGCACGCGTCCAGTCGTGAAGGAATTTCCTTCTTTATGGCTACTATCACACAGGTTTCCCCATGTCATGATAGTATTTTTGCTGAGCTAAAACAAGCCCAAGGTGTCAGCTTGTGATGCTCAAAAACAATAAATCGATATAACAATGTCTCTCCTCTCTGTCTGCTTGGTAAAACTGACTGACGCAGCTGCCTTGATAAGCATGAGCTCTGTGCTCCATCTCTTTGGTAACCCAAGTCAAGATTAGCTTTATTTTGTTTTATTAAAGGCAGACTGACTGTCTGGCTCTCTTTAAAGTGTTTCATGTGACTTGGATGTGACTTAGGTTAACTTAGGTAAGAATAGTGTCTTGTTTTGGACCAATATCCAGTAGAATCTTCACACATGTACAGAGGGTGAATAATAATGTTAATTGTTCACAAAGTGAATCTTTTTAGCTCTAGGAAGGATAAATACTCCCAACCAGGATGCATCCTTCAGATTTGGTTTGGAACTGTGTTCTCACTCTGTACTGCTGATGCCTTTTCTTCCCAGCCGGGCTTCAATAAATCTTTTTTTGTTTTTTCTTTTTCTTTTTAAACCTGTCCTGCCCAGCAGCCTGGTATAGAGTATGATGAGTTGGATACCATATTGTGCCAGACAGATTTTACTTTAACAAGAGAGTATTAATATACTCCTTTGTCTGTTTTATTATTTATATAATTATGTATTGATTTGTCACCGGGCAGGACAGGGGGGCAGACACGGGGATGGGGGGGCACAAACAGACAGCACAGAGAAAGGACAATACCTGTAAGAGAAGGGGGATGGAAGGTGGGAACAACAGGGAATAGCAGAGGGAAACACCAATTGCAGAAAGCAACGAAACCTGTAATAGAACAGAGAGGGGGGCTTGGGGAGGTCATGCACAATAAATAAGCAACACAGCACAGCCATGAGAGCTGGAATAATAACAAACAATTGAACAACAAGTAACTGAAAGAAAAGCATCAGTAAATTCAATAAATCTTGCTGCTTAAGACATTTCCTGAATCCTTCATCAATATGAGTTAACTAGCTCACAGAAATTTCCTTCACGCCATTGAAGTGTATTGTTTTGATTCTGAAGAAAAAAACATAATGCTAGCGTGTAGCTGGTGTGGAACTGGACATAGCTTTTATACATAACAACAAAACTGATGGATTTCTTCATTTCAGGTTGCTTTGGATGCCATCGAGGAGCTTTGCTACGAGATGGGGCTACAGAGGGTGGAGGCTTTGGATGAATATGCCATCTTTCTGGTCACACACAGAGGTAACAAGGATCTAGCTTGTTGTTGTAGTGAAGACCTACAATGCAAACGCTCTTGACATACTGTACACTATAATATACTATAGATAAACAAATGAACAACTGAACTGTGTTTCTGTGTAGGTCAGAATGTGCGTCCCCTGAACAAGCGCGAGTACATCCTGGACATCGCAACAGAGGCAGAACCAGTGGATGCCAACTACAGTCTGTGGTTCAGGAGAGTCATATGGAGTCTGGCTCTCAAACTCGACAATGAACTCTATGTCACCATGCACTACAATCAGGTAGAGATCGACTGTATGAAATGAGGCACAGCTGATGTCCTATTTCTTCTGTAGTCCTACAGAGTTCTGACATTTTGGTTACTCTTCCTGTGTGGCTGATTCACACTATCACATGGAGAAACAATAGATAGATGTAGTCCCCACTGCAGAATTTTTTGTCCCACGTTCTCCTCATAAGCCATCGTAAGATTAGATCCACGTACTTCATCGGTTTATGCAGCTGGCATCATTTGTAGATTTGCCATTTGTCTGACAAGGAAGCCCGAGTCAGTCAATTTTCTGCCACAACATGAGCAGTGACATATAGTAGAGTAAAATGACAAAACGTTACTCTGTGTGCCTCTCTTCAAGGTGTTGCCTGACTACTTGAAGGCCTTGCTGAGTGTGGTTCCTCAGGGAAAGGCCAGTGAACAGCACCTGCAGCAGATCGCCAGACTGGCTGCCCTACAGCACCGTGCCAAGGACACCGTCTACCTGCCCACCCTGTAAATATACAGAGACATACACTTAAGAGCATTCATTTACAACAGGCCACATGTTGGATACTTTTATCCCAGGCATGTCACAGCACCATGAATACTTGCACATGACACAAAGTCCCACTCATGCATATATGACAGTCACAGGTGCATCTTCATACACTTTGACATTGGCTACTTAGACAGAAAACACCAGCTAGCATGCACATTTATAATATATATAACTGCTGCGGTATCACTGATTTGCTTTGTGCGTGTGCGTGTGTGTGTGTGTGTGTGTGTGTTTAGCCGTGAGGTGCAGGAGTGTGTCCCCCCACTGTTATACAGCAAACAGGGTTCACAGCATTGGCTGAATATGACAACTCAACACATGCAGCAGGTCCAGCCTTTAAATCCACACCAGGCCTGTGCACAGTTCCTTGGTAAGACCCACCACAGTGTGAATGTGTAACAGTAGACATAGACGCCAATATTATTCATCAATTCCACATAAGTATGATGAATAACCATTTTCATATGCTCTCTAAAATCTAGCCGAGTATGAATATTTGAGTGAAATGATCTGCCTCAGAACAATTGACAGACAAAAAGAAACAAATTTGAATCCCACATAATTGTTTTTTATAAGTTATTGACAGTGCGGCAAAGTAGATCTTAGTAAGTAATGATGGCAATAATTGTTCCAAGCGACACTGACTTGTCATTCCAACTACTTTTCTTGAAAATAACTCTTGGCTCGAGTGTGTTGCCATATTTAAAGTGACCCTTTGTGTTTTTTTGCCCAGGTCTGGTCAGTGCCTTCCCCATGTTCGGCTCCTCCTTCTTCTACATCCAGAGCTGTAGCTCCGCTTCCATCCACGCCCCGTGCATCCTGGCAGTAAATCTGAATGGACTGCACTTTCTTAACAAGGATACCCACGTATGTGACATATCCAGACTGTGTAATGTTGCATGCTTCACATTCCAGGACAACCTGGCAATATATGGTAATAAGCAGCTGAATGTGTGTAACAGTATGGATTTGAAGCAGGACAGGTACATTGTTTAACATTTCCTTGATTATGTTACATTTAAAACAAACCTGTGCAAAAATATAATTATTTAAAAATGAAGCATTTGGCTCCCCCTGCTGGTTATTGTTTGCTGTCTACTTCTGTCCATCCTGCCATTTTATTATTTAAATAAAAGAGGAAATATAACATTTCCCTAAACAATAAATGTTGTATTTTATGTGTTTTGACTTATATATTTGTGCATATCTGTCTCAGGATATGTTTGTAAATTTCTTGGCATGCCTGTTTGTGTGTGTATTCATTCATATATTCGGTTTTGTGTGTGTGTGTGTGTGTGTGCATGATTAGGAGGCCATGGTGCGTTTCCCTCTGAAGGAGGTCCAATCAACTCGCACCCAGAGACCAACATCAGGCTCCAGTTATCCATATGTGGAGATCATGATAGGAGACCTGCTCAATCAGCGCATCACACAGCTACAGCTGGAGCAGGTGTGTGTGTTAAACACAGATTAGAGTGTTGATAAAAGACGTTTCAATATGTTTATGTAATTTTTCTGTGCATTTCACTCACCTTAAATGCCATGCTGTTTCTGTATGTTCTTGTGTGTGTGTGTGTGTGTGTTTTCCAGGGCCTGGAGCTGTGCCGAGTCGTTGCCATGCACATGGAGAACATGTTGTCAGTCAGGGAAAAGAGACTGACTTTGCCACCAAGCGAAATCACCCTGCTATAGCACAAACATGCACACACAGAGAAGTCATACTTTATGCCTACTAAATGTACTGTATCTACCTCTATTTTAAAAATAGGATATTTTCATATGTAATGGTAATGTTTCTGTAATGTGATGAATGTATGGTGATGATGTTGATAATGATCTTGCACTGAACAAGGGTATAGGAACCTTTGCTGTCGTTGGCTCTGTACAAAGAAACTACAGTGTGTGAAAGATAAATGAATATAACCCGATCTTCCCTTTAACATGAACAGATGCTTGTGGTTTGACATGATGCATCATTTTTCATTAGGCCTGGGCCTACATGCAAGAGTAGCCTACATAAATTATTTGTGAACCCAGAAAAAATAAAAATAAAGATGCATTAAGATTTATTGAAATGAAAAGAATAGAAGGCAGCCACAGGAACAGGCCACACATTTAATAAATGTTCTTGTTTTCTTCCCTGTCATGAAGGACAGGGAAGGGAAAGACCCGACAGGGGAAACTTATCTTGACACTCAGTTATTGGCCATGTCACTGAACACTTTGCACTAATTAAAATTATTATTTATACAATGGATACATATATATATATATATATATATTTTTTTTGTTGTTGTTGCTGTAAATAGCTGTTGTACATAACTAAAGCATGTGAATTATGTTGTACATTAAAGTTTGTATCATAAATGATTCTGGTGTGTGAAGTTGTTTAAACTTAATAACAAACATTTAGGCTAACTAAAACTGCATAGGAAAAATGAGTAAATAAAACAGACGAAATGCAAAACAATATATTAACAAATAAATACTTAAAATAACAGCGGGATGCTAGAGGTTTAAAATGTCCTGTTTTTGAATGAGACCAACATTTTACCAAGAAATAGAAAAAAAAAACAAAAGAAACAACCAGTAATTAACATCACCCACCACAAAAGGTTTTATTCTAGTTACATACGTAAAACATCAACATTTTTCCAACAATACAAGGTGAACAAGTTCACTTGCTTTGTCTTATTAACTCTTTCTAGCTGTTTAAGTGTCGTAGCTTCATTTTAAATAATGGACTGACCGTTTGTCCCCTTGTATTGGCGGGTGTATGCGGGACGTGCAGCCGGTGCGTCCTGCGCTACAAACCGAACACCCCTCTCCCAAGCGCTTGGCTGTGTGGGCGTCTCTGAGTAATTGCTCGCAGATTTCTTCGCCCTCATTGGTTAATAACGACGGGTCCGTGTGAACCGGACCGGGGGGGGGGGGGCTGTGGTCAAACCCACCACGACCTAAACAGCACCAGGAGGGAGAGGAGAGTCGCAGCAGCAGCAGCTCCGCTTTCAGCCTGTATGGGCTAGTCGGTTAGCTAGCTTAGCATCGTCCGACTACGCCGCACCGCCTCTTCTGCCCGCCGACAACCCCGGGTTGTTATCTCCGCGTTTTCATCTTCGTCCCCCGCCAGTCCTGCCCCCCCCCCCCCCGCCCGCCCGGCTTCAAGATGATGAAGTTTAGGTTTCGTCGGCAGGGCACCGACCCGCAGAGAGAGAAGATAAAACAGGAGCTTTTCGCCTTCAACAAGGTAAAGTAACGGGACGGAGGAGAGGGAAGGAGAGAGAGCTTCCTCCTCCTCTGCTGCTCACCAAAACTATCTGTCTATCTCACAACGGGACCGGGTTTTAAGTCGAGCGCTCTGCAGCATTAGCCCCCGACCGCCCCTCTCTGTTGCAGCCTGTTTCCAGCTAGAAACAGAAATAATCTGCAAATTGCTGCTGATGGACGCTTGTTGGGGTGTGTGTGTCTGCGCGCGCGTTGTTTTTCACAGCACGTTAATTGGCTCTCACCCCAAACGAGGCCCGCGTTGAAAGTGAACAGCAGTGAGAAACTTACCTCTGTAGACCCAGCATTGATGTAATCAACTGCCAGCAGCAGATTATGTCAGTCAGTGGGATTACCAGGCTTCACATTAACAAGATTAGTTTGAGTTGCTTCGTGTAGTGTGACTGTGACCCCTATATTTCAGGTATCGATCAAGATGGCTGTCAGTGTGGTGACAGTTTGAACTCTTGCACCCCTTTCATAGGTGGACCAACACCCTGCAGATGTGTTCCCCTTGCTGCTTGTGTGGTGCCCAGCGCTTGTTTCAGGGTCTGTGGGTGAAACCATGAGTGTCAGGTTTCATGCTACTCAACTCTGGCATCACATCCACATGGATATAAACCAGTTTGTGTAGTAAACCTCAGCTTCCTGAAGCCTGAGTTCACATTACCAGTCTCTCCCTGATCCTCACTGGCCAGTGCCGAGATCATGCTGTCACACTGACCACTGTTGCCACACTGGTGGGTGCTGCACTTGGTAGACTTCTGTGCAAAGAGAAACTGTCTGAGCCCTGCTGTGGCCTTGAACTCTGGTTAGGTGAGGCCGCAGTGTCCCAGAGAGCGGGCTGTCCAAACTTTATGATGTTGACAAAATTAACCCTACTAAACAAGATGATGTGGAAATTGTTACATGAAACTGCTCTTTTCTTTCATTCTGTGGTTAATAAATCTACAGGCTGAGTGTTAAGACAGCTTGTTGTAGTTGAATACAAATTTTTGAATAAAATAAGTACTTAACAGGTGGGTACCGTGTCTTATCCAGTGAAGCTAGTAAAACAGTCAAACCGTTAACTCTGCTGACACATGTTGATCAGCTTTTCATTGCTTGTAGGGTCGCACTTGTCCTGGTTCACACTCCCAGTGAGGTCCACTCTAAATGTGAGGTTACTTGTGTAACTCCCGGTCCTCTGAGTAGCACGAGTGAGACGTCTCAGTAAGGCATGCACGTTGAAATGAGGGCTGTGAAAGAGTGTTGACTGCGTGATGGCAAAAAATTGCGTGGGGCAGTCACAGGTTCCAGATTAAGCCAAGATCGTGATTATTATTTGATTAATTGTGCAGCCTGGATACAGATTTTCATAATTTATGTTTTTCACTTGCTGATGAGAGACCGCAGCAACAGGAGGGGGTTTTAGTAGGTGGCGACATCTCAGATTGAGTGCTAACTTATAGACGTGTAAGTAAGGGCTGCAACTAACGATTACTTTCATTCTCAGTTTATCTTATTATCTTGATTAATCGTTTGGTCTGTAAAATGTCAAAAGTGTAAGATGTTCATCAGAATTTCCCAAAAGTCAAAGTGACATACTACTTGTTTTGTCCACCCAGCGGTCCACAACCCAAAGACTTTTCGTTTACTCTGACGTGACCAAGAAAAACCCCAGCAAAGTCTCACATTTGAGAAGCTGGAACAAGCAGATTTATGGCTTGAAAAAAGAAACAGAAACCATTAATTAAAATCAAATAATTGCATATTAATTGTTTTTTGATTGATTTATCAGCTAACTGGTGCATCTCTTAAAGTATATTTAAAGTAAATTCAGAGTAAATGCCATTTACAGCACTAGTGTGTGTAGTTTGTTTAAACAGTGTATTTTCAGGTCGGCTGACTGGTGTATTACATCTAAAGTCCATGAACTGTGGACTTTAGTGTGTTGCACTGTGTGACCACACACACACACACACATACACACTTTGTTTGGCACCACCTGCCACAGCTATCACTGAGGTGGTCTCTCAACAGGAGCCTTACTTTGATGTGACTTATCTGTGTGTGTGTGTGTGATCAGACTGGTACAAACAGTTAATGTTTCACCTTTTTTATGTCTGACTTCCAAGCTAAATAACTAATTTCCAAATATGTTGGTCACAGACTTCAGCCACAAAACTTTCAAGAACCCCTCGACCTCTTCAAAGTAGGTTAAGGTATCTCAGTTTCTGTTCCTTTCCCCCCTCTGTACATCTAAATGCTTTCCCAGCTGTCTGTCCCGACATGGGCCGAAGAAAAAGCTGTGAATTTATGTTCATCCCATTTAACACAGTCTGCAGGACGTTCTAATAAAGCAATGTGGCTGCCATTAGTGCTTTTTAAGAATTTTCCTCTGACTTTATTAAGGGAGTCCTCCCTTTTAGACGCCTCACTGACTGTACAGTCTGACAGGCAGAAGCACGTACACACACATTCACAGACAGACAGCAGGACATGTGAGGAAGAGGTGTCAACAAAAAAATCTGGTTGGTTTCATCGTCTTCTTTCTTGTGTCATCTGTTAATCTCTCTCTTTCTCGCCTGTTTGTCTTTCCCACTCCTTTCGCTCTGTGTCTGTTTTTCTCTTAGACTGTGGAGCATGGGTTCCCTCATCAGCCCAGCGCTTTGGCCTTTGACCCCAAGCTGCGACTTATGGCCATCGGGACAAAGTCAGGAGCCATCAAAGTGTATCCTTTTACTTTCAGTGAGCGTTTTTTGGGGGTGCTGAGAATGGCCTGCCCAAGTTTACTCATGTCATGTACAGTAAATAGTCTTAAATCCCATATAATTCAAACTGAGAATTGCTACAAAATTCATTGACATATAACCACAAGTTCAACCAGTCAGTTGGCCCGCAGTCCAGTGGTGGTTATATTGTACTGATAAACAAATCAGAAGTTAGAGAAATTAAATTGCACCAATTAATTAAAAAATGTATTGTTTATTAAAAATGTTGCCGACTAAGACTTGCAGGACAAAAAGCAATGAAAGAAAGCTCTTTTAATCTCATGTTCCTTAATGTAAGATTTTGTTTCTTGGGCATGTTAAACTGATTCTAGTCATTTCAAACCCCTCATGTTTACACAAAGGGTCCGTACTATTATGTGCTTTTTAAGTTCCGGTCTGTTCTACTGTTGCTTACGTGGCTGTTGGGTTTTCATGCCCTCGCGATGCCTCACAGTGCTTCACAAATCTCGAGAAAGTACTGATGAGACTTATCTGCAGCAGAGCTGTTTTATGTAAGATCAGTTCACTGGAGCAGTGCTTTGCTGTGTGTGCTGTCTGTCTGAGGGAAGCTGCACTGTCTGCACCAGTGTACTGAAGAGGACTGATCTGTCATTTCCTTCTAACCGACAACAGTAGAGGAAAGTTTAATCCTTTTTCTTTTTTTTTTTTCCTTTTTTGTTTTTGTCTTTCATCACTTTTGGGTAATAATAACATTCTTTTCTCACACCAACTGAATGTCTGATATCTGAAAAATCAGGTCCTTTTTTCAGAATTAGAAATACTTTATTGATCCCAGAGGGGAAATTCTGTTTTGAATTGTTTTTGAAAGGAGTCTGGTATGGGAAGAAGCCTAAGTGCAGGTTGCAAACAAGCCCTCAGTTTTTACCACACTTATTT